GTTCATGGTTAAAAGAAAATTCTCAAACGAAAAATCCTGCTGAAAACGTTGAAAAAAAGAAACAACCTTACAACAACGAAACGATAATGTTGTCCGAATGTCATCTTTTGCGTGACATTCGTTTTGGAATGCAGATCCTGATGGTAATAGAATCACATTCCAAACTTCTTTCGAAACTGCAACGAAAGTCCAAATACGATTCAAGATACAAAAACAGTCACATCGGGATATGGTTGCCACAATAGCTGAGATACACTGTAGATGATTAGATGTGCCAAGTTTATAAGACAGTGTGATATTTTGAAGATATAAAAAATGCAGTTATAGCGATAATGTACACATCATCGCTATAACATCATTTATCGTATGTCTTAAAATAGTAACTTTCAATGACGCGGTTTTCTTTTCATCATGGTTTTATAATTACCAAGATTTGCTTCTTGTTGTTACGTTTTTCAGGAAATGTTTCTCTCCAATAAATTTGTTCTTCTGTTTGCCATTTCCTGCGTTATTCTTTCCATGTGTTCCCAAAGCGTAGAAGGGCAACTTCCTGGCATTCGTTGGGGAAGAAATTTACAAGGCGACGAGTTAGCTCGTAAGGAATACACCGGGAAACTTTGGGAATTGATGAAAAGGCCATATACTAAACATCACGAAAATAGTAAGTTAAAGCAAGGCTTGAGTTACTTGAGTTAATGAGGCGTTAGAGTTGTGTACATACGCATCGGACACACCTGAGAATAGTCCGGACTAATATGTTATTTCATTTTAAATAGCTCAAGACAACAGGGTGTCATAAAAATATAACCTGTCACTCTTCATGCAATCAGCCCAATTTACAATCATCCAAGTTCAGGACAAGGAAATGACAAGACTGTATCTTCAGATCCTGGAGGTCAAACTATCAATGAAAATATGCGAGAAAACACACTGACTTGATTCCTAGATAAAGAATTTTGGTGAAGCAAGAAAAAGAATGAAGGCCAAGCAAAGTTGAGTTACAAAATAATAAACAACGATGACAATGATGAACATGGATTTCTTCAAAGATTGCATGTTTTTTGTCACTATTTAGTTAATCCGATATCCATTTATTTGCAATAGATGTAAATATATTATTTCAGTCAAACCATCAAGTCGTAATAAAGATAACCACTCTAGAATACCAGTGTGTTCAACTCTTTGATTTTTCATTTTCATAACATGAAATAGCTCGTTCAGTTCCTCTTTTACACCTGCTTAAAGTTTGACGACCGTAAAAGACGCTGCATATGTGGCTGGACGTGTTAGGACTACGTGGAAGTTGTTATCCGTGATAACGTTTTCTATATCAAAAATATCTATAAGCTCATGTAATGAAAAAGTGGAAATTAAGGCGCGCGTGCCCTTCATGTCCTCGCACCCCAAGTTTAACCCTCTAAACCCTAAGATCAAAATTTGAATTCTCACTCGTTGCCCCTATTCATTTCCTACAGAAGAAGTGGGGAGACGTTGATAAAATATCAAGCAAATTCATTTCGTGCCATCATATCCATAATTCTCATGACCTCTCTGTTTTACAAAGTTTTGACATTAAAGGAGAAATTAGATGCTGATCACTCTCAGGGTTTAAAAGGTTAAACTCCTCTTTTTCCTTCTCCTTTAACTCCTGTCACGCTGAGGCTATTAGAATAAAGTTAAATCGTCATTTATCAGAAATTAACAGAACGGATACCACTTTCACTAGCCTCTCACGCAGTCGTTTTTAGGTGAGCTCGTATTTCTTCCCTGAGCTCCCCTAAAAACGCCTGCGTGGGAGGCTACACTTTCCCCTTTCATTGCTTTCATCTCAATAAAACGAATCCAGAGTTGCTTTGTTCCTGACAATCAATCAATAAACTTTATTTACCCTAGAATTTACAGTGTAGCACTCAAGTGCTAATAATAATCAGAAGTAATTATAATTGTTACTAAAACCTGCCTTCGTGGCAGGATTTTAACGATAAAATCGTGGCTGCTCAATTCTTTTAACTTTCATAAAACGCTACTGTATCTAGATTATCTTAATACAATACTTTATTCAAGAGATAAAAACTAAAGCTACAAAATATCTCTCGAAAGGGGACATCTAGAGGTTAACCCGATATAAAAGATTCCCCAAAATAAAAGATGAAGAGGTAAAATCTAGAATCTAAAACATTATATGCAGAGAGAAAAATCTAAAACCTAAAGACTAGAATCAAAAACATCATTGGCATATCATCATTGAAACTATTTAAAATCGTATTAATCAATATTCCTATAAATCCCTAATCAGTTGCGAAATAAAGTCGGCGATCCTGCGTGTACAACATCTTTAGGCAAGTTATTCCACGCATTAACGATCCGCACCTAGTTAGTGAAAAAGTATCGGAGTCCCTCTCTGTCATCTTAGTCCCACGAGACAAGTCTCACACCAAGTACTTTCCATTCACCGTTCATTAAATTTTATCCCCAACCGTTTGTTAGTCATTATTCTAACGGAGAATCCATTTTTCTAAAACACAAATGACGCACTTAAAATCTCTAGTTTAAGTTTATACCTCACGGTCTTAATAACGGCAGTTATTTTATATATGCCTTTTTCAATTCAGGAACTGGGAAAGCGGATACCGGCCTAAACGATAAAGGAACGTAAATGGCCTAAACGTATAAGAATCTGATCTATTCTACGATCATGGGACAAAGTCTTGGGGCAGTTGTACAGTGCTAACGCTTTTCAATACACGCCAAATAAACATTGGCGCGCGACTAACCTCCCCAACCCCTCACTCTCCCATGGACTTAGTCGGGGGCGGCTCTTATTCGAGTGAATATGATAATTAGCCACATTATCATAATGAAGCAGACAGCCATAACAGAGCCCCTTTAATGATGTATCACTTACGTCATTGATGACGTTAAACTCACATTTATCACTATTAATTGTTATTACATCAAGTGCGAAAAGTTATTATACATTTAGGACTTTATTACATTTAGGGCAAAATGTTATTACATTTAAGTCGATTTAAATGTTCTTAAAACATAGCCAGTCTTAACGTCTTAATGATGCTGACAGTTTCGATGACTGTCAGCCATCTGTATAAAAACTTGAAAACATTAAATGTGTCAGAAGCCTTAAATAGGCTTCTGAAGGTGTTAACTATTGCGATAAACGCGCAAAGTCAGTCTGTAGACGCCCCCTCCCCCCCTGGTTTGGGGGTGGAGATCACTTGTGTCCATATGGGAGAAAGCTGATAGGCTCCCTCGTCCCTGTTCATAATAGGAGTGTTTGATCTAATACATATGCTTTCCTTGATCCATCGCTTGAACTTGTCGCTTTCCTGCTCAACTATTTCACTTGCTTCCCAATTCATAATACTGATTTTTCAAGTTTTGATAAAGATGGCTGACAGTCATCGAAACTGTCAACATCATTAAGACGTTAAGACTGGCTAGGTTTTAAGAACATTTAAATCGACTTAATAACTTCCCTAGCCTGATGCATTTCTTCAAGAAGTTATTACATTTAGGATTTTATTACATTTAGAGTCGTTTATTACGTTTTGGTCTTCTTACAAAGGGTGTTTGTGGGTACTTAGAGGAAGTTTGGAAGGGGTTGACGCTAAAGCGTTCAAGCCCTGACCCTGTTTAAGATGAAACAAAGTTGTTCATTTTGCCACCCTGTTAACACTACAGATCATTTTCTATACACATTAAAACTAAGGGCCGCCAGTCATTTAAGGAACTGTGCCGCGCTATAATGCTATCTTTTAAAAAGCTAAAGCCGGTCTTCGCATCAATAGAATTCGAAAAATAATGGTCCAGTTTATTTATTTGAAACTAAATTTAGGCATTTAAACTTTTTTCTGTCGTCTGTTGCTACGAATGGCAAGGATAAATATGGATTGAAACTTGGAAAAATCAGCCCACCTTATTTTGTGATACTTTGGGCCGATCCGCACTGGCAGACAAATTTGGAATGGTATTTAAACCTCTAAACCAAACATTATTATGATGACAATTTTTGTTATGAAAAAATTTATCCGCACTGGAAATTATTTACTTTTATTACATGAAAGCAGGCCCTCACATCTGTCCTTACTTAATGGAAAGAATGATGGCTTTACAAAAAATGATTGACAAGAAAAACACATATCGTTTATTTAGTCCATTTTTTCCAGTTCTTACCCGGAGTAAATTGTGTCTCTGGCGCCTTGATGATTGTCCCGTCTCAAACAAAATTTGTAAAATCACGACAAACCATTGGCGTTTGTTGGGCGCCGTGATGACAGAAAATTTGTCTCATTAAACAGCGTTTTAACTATGCAGATCGGCCCTATTCCAGAAAAAATCGCCAAAAAATGTTATGGTGAGAAATCTCTCATCAAATTAATTTGATATCTTCTTCATAACTCTACAGGAGCATTTTGTGTATGGGCGCACGCACTAAGTTATTACTTTCGAGCATGAAGAGAATTGACCTAAAACAGCAATATATGACACATGACAGAGTCCCTATGAGGCGCCCAGGGTTATATAGTGTATAAAAAACTGGTTTGCTCGTTGTCTTAACCCTTTAAGCCCCAATATCCACATACAAATTCTCCAAACTGATCTCCATACATTTCCTTCATGAATGAGTTGAGACAATTTGATAAAAGATCAAGGCATTTCCCTTAGGTGATCATTTTATTAATTCTCATAACCTAATCTCTTTACATAGTACGAATATCGTTAGGAGAAAATTGACGTTAGTCACTATTGGGACTTAAAGGGTTAAACAAAGACAGTGCAGTTGACTTTCTTACAAGCAAGAAGAAAGTAATAAAAATTTTCTGTTCATTTCCAGCTATATTTTCAGCCGGCAACCTAAAAATATTCTGTGACAGTCTTCTCTGCTACGGAATTCAAAACAAGGGACGCAGCCATTGTACTCTACGCTAAAGGTCCGTAAGATGTTACCCAACACGACTGGTTTGTACACCTGGTTTTCCAATCTTTCGTTTTTTGAACCAGTGATAAATTCGCCTGAAGACAAAGTCCACAAATTCAAGTACTGTCAGGCAGCTCATTCCCAAGAAAAGACCAAACGTACCACCCAAATTTCCTTGTAGAATAAATATAATAATAGTATGATTAGCACTTATTGGCAGTATATCTAGGAAAAGGTCGTGGTTGTTGATCGGAATATATACAACCAATGCCTAAATGGAGTCTAACCGAATAATTTCTTTATTATCACTGATTTGTTGTTTTGGTAACCGTGGTCTTACAAAATGAAAAGATCACATGATACGAAACTGGAAATAAGTTATATCACCAGTTGAACAACGTTTCTGTTAGTTTACCCGAATTACAAGCCCACTACAGATGCTGGAAACCACCAATATGTTCAAAAGTTGTTTCTACATCCCATGTCTTGGTGGCAGTTATAACGTAGGAAACGTAACCAATAGAGAGGTCAGTCTATTGCTTTCTTTTTTGTTTGTTTATTTTTAAATTTTTTAATACGGTGCAAGAAAAATAGAAAGAAAACCACAATTTACATTGCTTCAACTAGGCCCTCTTAACGATCGACGCCTACTGACCAATAGAATATTGGTGAGCTACGAAAATCTTCCAAATTCATCTTCCTTTTTTTTTTTTACTGACCTTTAGGTTACATGCTCTAAGAAGCCACAATAGAACCTACTCTGGGCCTGGAATTTAAAGTGTGTATACCAACAACATTAAACAGAAGAAGACTGTCTGCGTGGGTACAACAATGTTGGCCAATTCCATACAATTTTGAAACAAAATGGACGACGCATTCTTCTCAACTGCTGAATAAAGATTTTACAATAACGGAATTTTTTTGCGCGTTGATTGGCTGATTTTATGATCAATAAGAGGACAGACACATAAAATTTTAATTTATGCAAAAAGCAGTCATTTGCCGAACGAATGCCAAACTTCGATGTTTTTGTTAAGTTTAGTTTCGTAGAAGCTTCACTTTCTGTCTAACAGGAAAATCGTCAAATAGCTCTGATGCACGACTTGCATCCGGTTTGGATTCCATACAAAAGGCTCATCCGACAAGCAGAGGAAACTGGACAAAAACGCCTAGTTTCCAAAACGTGGAGACGACTTGCTGGAAATTGTACAGCTTCAAAACTGCGATTCAGATAGGCTTTTGATATTCATACATAGTTGTAAAGTAAAAATACTGAGAAAATATTCAAAATAAAGACATTAATTGCAGTAGTTTTCCTTTGACAACTATTGAGTGTTTTTCTGATTCTTCTTTTCGAAAGCAAAAAAAATACAAACTTTCTGTTCATACTTTGCGAAACTTTGTAAGTACGTACCTGGTAAGTTGACTTGCGCATGAAAACCAACTTTTGGCTTGATTGTACGAAGTTCACGACGAAAAAAAAGACTTGAACTAAGGTAAGCAACAGCTTCACGATTTCTAATCGCGCTATTGGGTTAGCAACTATTCAAAACTGCTTACCTAGTTGCTCTATACACAGCTCAACCGTACAATGCTTCGACTTGTTCGGTTATTTTAACGGCTCCAGAATCTTCCCTTGGAGTAATTTTTAACCTTGGGTTAGTTTACGACTTTATACTACCCCAAAATGCCTCCATTTTTCGAGAAAATAAACATCACTAATCTCATTCTTGTTCTGAACTTTGTAAAACAGTAAATTCCTAGTTTATTCAGGGCAGTGACGTGACTGAACCTGTCAAATTTTTAGCCAATGAAACTCCATCACTTACTTGTTTTCAGTAGCCAATCGCCAAGGCGAGACACGTTACTGACAATCATTGCGCTAGTTTAAAGAATCATAAATTTTGTTGTGTTTTCTTCATTTTTACTGGAAATTTGACTTTTTCGAGCTTTTGTTGTTGTAAAAAATAAATTGACACCATTTTTTTGTGCCTGTCCTCTTATCTTACAAAATTCTGTTTTGAACTAGCATTCTTGACGATTCATAATGGACGATTCATAATTTTTAATTAAGCATTGCTCCTTCAGTATTTATATTTTGCAACATGCACTTCTTTTCTGACTTGATAATAAGGAGTTAGGTGAACGACGGAACGTTGTCGTCTTTTTAACTGTTTTTAACTTTTTAATATGAGCAACATTTTAGCTTAGTATATTATATCTAAAATGGGCAATGTCATGGTGATACAAAAATTCTCACAAAGTTCGTGAAAAGCTCTAGTATATGAATTATTTTGTAGTAACTGCAGTATTCCTCAACCTTTATTACCCATATTTATACGGTGTAAAACTTCTCATTGGCATACCATATATTCGCGTAATTTTAATAACAGCTTTACTAACCAACTAACGTCCATGGTTGGTAAATTGGCGTCTGTTCAATGACATCGTAAGCAAGATCTTCAAAGTATAAATCCAATGAAATAATGTTATCGCTGCGGATTAATTAAAAATTTTGTTATTCTTTAACCATGCCTTTGGTATTTAAGGCTGGAAGCAATGAAATAAAGAAATGACTAAAATAAACCAATAAGGAGACAGATACATCGGAGAATAAGGCAGATGGTCTCGAAATACATTGATAGTAGAAAGGCTGACTAATTGTGTCGGGTAGTGAAACGCATGAATTGTCTGAAGTCGTCAAAACAGTTAGACTGTATTTCAATAAGGAGCACTTACTTTATAAATTCTTCCCTCTCATGCTTGGTCATGTTCAACAAAGGCGCGTAAATATCTCGACCAACTGATGAGCTGTCGGATTCATTAAGGAATTCCATCAGATGCTCAATCAGAGCTTCTCTCTGTAGTCCACCATATGACAAAGACACCTCGTACTCAACTTGTTTACATGCTTCAGGACAGTTCTTCTCGCACACCTTTTTATCTTTAGACTTGCCAAACTCCTCTACAGAATACATAGCAAAATCATCAAAACGTCATTCCACAAAAAATATATAAGATGGAAATATTCTGGTCATTTTATTCATAAACAGGGTTGTATTGTATAGCCTTAGAAGCCGTGACTTTCACGCTCTAGTAACCATCGCTCCTTTTCATTTTATTTCTCAAACCTAACAGTGTCTATTAATCGTTTTCATTTATCTTAGCCCGTGTACAGACATCCCCCTCCCTCAGGAAAAATCGGGAGAGGAGACGTCTGTGAATCGCCGATGATAATCGTGTTCCCGTTTCCCTGAAATGTTGGGGACAGCCTCTGATTGGTTGTAATGTTAATGCCATGACGCAAATAATTTCCGGTGTTGTGATTGGTGAATGAACCTCAGAATAGATTCCCCGGGGAAAAGCTCAGCCTTTGTGGACATTCATATTTGTTTACCGGTATTTGTATTTCGGTTCTCTGGAAAAGGCATGAGAAGTTAAGACCACCGATGTTTGCTGCACCGGTTGCGGGTGCGTCTGTCTGTACCGGTCGGTATTGTAAATAAAAGCATTACAGAAACGCGCCCATTGAAAAACGTCGCCCGTGAAAAGTGGGGTACCCATTAGGCTTTGCGAGCAAAAACGAAGTTTCAAAGACTACCGTCGTTTTCGGTCTCTTATGAACTTCATAGCGGTTAACTATTCTCACACTTTCAAGAGACAATGCAGAAAAAATAGAAGTAGGTTGCCATTGTTTTATGTGTTGGAATGTCTTTGTCATTGCTACAAAGAAGAAAATGTTTATGCAAAGAGAAGCATTTTTCTTCCTCGTGCACTAACATAAAACCCTCGCGAATTCAGTAGTCTCGTGCGAATCGTTTTGATGGCAAAACAGTTAAAGCTAATCAGAAACCAAAGTATTCTTCACTTAAAAACTCATCTTCACGAAAATCACTCGATAAGATTGAATAAAAATGTTTGTAGCGTTTATGAATATTATTTTCAGAAGCGGTATTGTAGTTGTTTTCAAGAGACGGATTAGATCGCTGTTTCGGTTTGGCCGTTAAATATGTAGTTATAGCGTTCTTAAAGAAAGTATCGCTCTTAATTTTGCCTTATACTTTGCTAAAATCAATATCTTAAATGAAGAATGTAAGTGAGAGTGCTTTCTCGTCGAATTTGCCCGTAAATTTTAAGGTTTATAATATTATCCAAAACCCGTGACAAAATTTAAACAAACTATTAACGCATCGGTTGCGCTCATATTTCATCGATCGATTCGAACACCAAGAAGTTTGTAAAAGGTAGAAATTCATTTTAAGTCAGTGCATTGAATTATTTACGGCAAAATCAACAACAATCATCGAGGATTTTTCAATTTTGAAGCGTTTAACAGCAAAAAGTCACATGCTAATTCGGAGTAAATTTAGACAGTTTTTAAACAGATTGAGCTATTGTTAGTCGCGTGAAGTTCTATTCTTCATCGAAGAATAGGCAAATGTTGCGGATGTCTGAGCAGGAACAATAACTAGGAAAGGGATATACCCAGGGGATTTCTTGATTGACACTAAATTAACGTCATTTTTCACTTATTTGCATTTTCACGATCGACGTTTTTGAATGGGCGCGTTTCTGTAATGAGAAGGCATACAAAATCCAACCTTAACAGCAAAGGCAGGTCAAGCTTACCAAGAAAAGATTCTATTACTGAACTGATTATTTGAAAAAATGAATCCGTTCGTCGTTCCCGTAACTGGCGTCAAATTTAAATCGGCATTACCGTATGCTGAATGAGCAGTGAATATTTTAAGAGAACTTCTCTACATTTGGTCAGATTGAAAATCTTTGAATGGATTAAATGTCTTAGAAGACATTTACATCAAATTCAGGGAAACTGAGCTGGTAGAAATTTCGTGACTGAATCGCGTGCGAATTCACGGCTCATTACGCATGCAAGAATGCACACATAGATGAATCTGAAATCTACAACTACCAACAGTTCAACTTTCGAATGATAAATGCATCTTAGGAGGTACGCTTGACCTGGCTTGACTGTAGTCAGAGATCTTATATTTGTTTTTTTGGGGTGGACATTGTGTGAAGATGTTCGACTAGCTGTGCACAGACGCCAGAGCTATTTTCGACCTTCATGTGCCTTTTCAACTGTCAGCGAAAGAACAAAAAAATAATTTATGCAAATGTATACCGGAACACGATTAACAGACGGCGATTCACAGACGCCTCCTCTCCCGATTTTTCCTGAGGGAGGGGGGACGTCTGTACACAGGCTACATTTATCTTTGAGAAGAAAGAAGAAAGAAGGAAGCGAGTTTCAAGTACTGGGCTCATCTGCCACCTTACGAAAGATGGATGGCCCAAAAACACCGTAAGGTTGAATTTTTCGTAACATACAGAGGCTGCTTTTTCAACCTCCGATTTCGGCTCTTCCTATCATTGCGGAACATAATTCCCCAAGTGATTGATTTTGCACCCACGATTCGATAATGTGAGCTAAGTTTAGACCTTTATGAGAGATTTAGTTTTAATTTTATTCCACTGGTGAAGCGTTGTTACAGCAGTAATCATCATCCTGCTTATTCCTTAGTAGGGGAATCGCATACTCAGTCAGTTGGTATATATTACGCTTGCCTGAAAAGACAACGGTGTCGTACCATCTGTTTCAAGGCCTCTGAGAAAGTTAACATTATTAACTTCAGGAAACCGTAAGCGAACAGGCATAGAAGACCGCGATCTTCATGCCTCTAACTGCTGTAAAGACGGACAAAAACGCCCAGAGCACTGCCAATAGCACAATTAAAAGACGGTGAAGAAAAATGCTCTGCAGACAACTTAAATAAAGACCGGCTATTGTAGCTTGTAGTATACCCTTGTCGCTATCCTTTCGTTATCCCTTTAATACTTTGGAAGATAGCCAAAGTACCGTAACAAAAAAAAGAGCGACACGAGGTTGAGCTGAACCCAACTGCCCTATATACAACAAATGGAACCTATAAGGGGAAGTACAATCCATCAGCTTCAAAATCACGATACTGCCCGTGACAAGATAAATTGATTTGAAGTAAAAATATAAATGCATTATCCAGTGAACACGAACGATTCTCTCCCTAATGATCCTATATGTGTCTCCCAGTCCCGACACGTTTCTCATTTTTGCCTTTCTCTATCCGTAGATCAATTTTATTTTCAACTCTCACATCGAATATGTAAAAATCATTTGATTTACGTACCTTGGGATGGATAAAGACACAGCATCGTGTCATTCAATGCACAAATCGGGCCACTAGCTGTAAAACAAAACAACTGAGAGATGCAAAGGAAAGCTGACGTATATCTAGTTGAGCTCTATGTTCCAGCTCTTAAGCGCTATCAAAACGTACGGCAAATTTGTTACAATAACCGAGATATTTTTTACCACTTACCACACATGTATAACTTGCGCATCAAAGTTTATGTGCGCGACAAAAGTTTAGAGACGTGACATTCCTTTATATCAGATTATATTACCAACCAAACGTTTAAAGCTTAGTTTGACTGGGAAAATGAAGAGGTCCAGTCCAAACTAAGATCAACGTATATTCCTGCAAGCGAAAATCGTCTATTTGCAAAAGCTAACTTACGATATGTTTGTTTTCAGGAATCAATAGACCTTTTCGGTTTGTGTACGAATCAAGTGTTTTCAAGGGAATTTACCTTATGTGGACAGGATGACGTGCGAAAGAGACAGTTTTTTGGGGTAACGTCACATGGTCCGAAATGGGAAATCAAAAAACAAAATCAAGGTATAAAGAACCATAGTATACTTAAATAAATTACCGTTAACTTCAGGGAGCGTGCAGCCACATTTCTTGGTAGTGTAATCGTCGCGACATTTTCTCAGACAAGCTTCTTTAGTATAGCTATAAAAGGGGTCAGTATCGCCATTGGTTTGATCTGTGCAGTTTGTTGCATATGGCCACTTTAAGTTACTTATCTACAAAAATAGAAAAGCCCTTAGTTTCACCAAAAAACCATGGTACTAAAAGAGCTCTAGATTGTTTTTCTGTGCTTCTCGGGGTTTACGTACAGACTATTGAAATGCGAGGGATTAATGCCAGCAAGCAATTAACGCGGTCTTGCTGGCTGTACAAAATAAACAAATACCGCTCAAATACTGCAAAAGGAAGAGCTACAGTTTCAATATGTGGGTTGCGGGAGGGTGTTACCTGAGTACTTCTTACATTTCTTTTTTAAATTTTTAGATTATTAGTATTAACCTGTTAGGCCTTTTATAGCCTACTCTATGACACAAATTAAATGATTGATTGATTGATTGATTTGAAGACCAATCAAGTACCACTATTTGACGAAGGTCTCTAATTCTTAAAAATTAATCAAACCGGTTGCTATGATTTCAAAAAGCAACTGAAGTTTTTGTTATTAATACCAAGAACAACAGAAGCAATAATAAAAGTTTTAAAATTATTTAACATTCAAACAGCGCCGTGAAAAAATCGAAATTTCAAAGCTTTGTATGGAAGGATAACACGAACGTAAGTTAACAATTATATACAGTTAAATCTGGAAAACTGAAAAAGATTCACTGAGGGAGAAAAAAGCCATAAAAGTATGAAAATTGGCGTTATGCTACAGCATGGACACAAACCATTTAATCTGTAATTTTCCACGGCGCGCGCATATTAATCGCAAATTTAACAATTTTTAAGAAAGCCTTGTTCTTGAGAAATTTATGGCAAAGACGAAACCCTGGGGAGAAGGAGTTTGTTTGACATACAGCTGCTGTTGTCTCGTATTTGTTAAGAACTCTTACTTTGAACTAAAAATCGTGAAAAGCTAAAGATAATACTAAAAATACGTGTCTCTCGCAGAACTCCCGAAAAGAGCGAGGGAAACGAGCCCAGAGATGAAATAGAAGGAATAACAAACATGTAACCAAATGAGACTTGGTCGAATATCAACGAATAATTCCGAGTATAAAGCTAACCTTTCTCCTCTTAATGGCGCAGACAGTTGACATTCCTGGTTGAATAATAACTCCATGCCCTTCCATAAAGGGAAAAGCTTTTTGATCGTGTATCAGTAGTGTGAGCCCAACTGACGCTACAGGATTTTTGAGGTCATTTTCTCTTTCTATATTTAGTCGAAGCTTTAGGCCACTGTCCTTGCCTGCTAGTGTAACATTTAGAAGTGGATGACCGTTTTTTCCCGAATTAAACGTGTAGCACTGGCCATAAGAAATGCTCGCTTTCTTGCTAAAATTCTTCGGGCCACACGCCTCTCTATTTAAAGAGCACGATTCAAAGGTCGAGCCTCGTGGTAGCAGCATCTCTTCAATCTGATGACTGAAGAGCGCGTCCAGTTCCATCTTCTTTTTGACTTCTTCGAGGGAATTGGGTCGGTGAAAAAATTCGGGATTCCTTTCTTTAAATTCTTTCGTTAACACTTTTGGCGACCTTGCAAACAAATGGGACAAATCCTCGATTGTCTGTTTGAGCTGCTCTTCGGTAGGGGTTACATGGAAGACAGGGCCGTACAGCTGTCGAATTCTTCGTGTGTTTGTAGGGTTGAGGTTACACAGCGTCACGGCAGGAAAGGGAAGCTCTCGACCATCCTTAGGGGCTGTCTCTCTTTTTACCGTCGTGTGGAATGGGTAGCTATAAAAATCTCTCACAGATAGAAACACTTGATAAGCACAGAAGGAAAAACACGAGACCATAGCTATATTCCAAACTACACGTCTGGAAACGTTGCTGACGAACAAAAATCTTGCACCGTGTAAAGTCGTATCTTGGGCGAAAGACTGAAACCCTTCAGTGGAATATTCATGTTCTTGTGTTTCTTCATGTTGGTTTCTTGAGTTTTCAGGGTCTTGCATTTTTAGACATAAGATTTCGGTTTTTTTGGTATCTCTTTTGACTCTTGGTTGATTCCTGTCTGTCTTTCAGCTTCTTAATTCTGTGATTTTCCAGAAAGAGAACGAATTTCAGACAACTTCAGTCTGCCTCTGAAAGAGATCTAAATTTAACATGATTAATTCTACCGTTCGTATAAATAATTAATTCTGTTTTTTTTTGTTAAAATTTGCGAGCTTACTGAACTGAACGAATTTTAAAGTACCCGCTTTGTCTTTTCACAGAACGGTCAAAATATTAAGGTCATTAAGTACTATTTTTTTTAGCCAAAATTGAGTCCGAAATCTCTCCTGTGGGTTTTCATTCAAAACAGTCTGAATAATTCTCTGGTGAAGTCAATATCGGATTTGTAAACAAAAGTAAGATGTATTTGGTGTCCCCAAATTAGTAAGGGATTTGTTCCCTGGCTAGACGGTTTTTGACACTTTAATAAAGTTTCTATTCTATTCTATTCTATTCTATTTAATTTATTCCTTGAAACGCTATTTGTTTTATGTTTTTTGTATCTCTCAGCGGCACGTCGCAAATGAATGATTGATAATGTTTACAAAATGAACAAAACGAACACTTGAATATTGATAATGTTTATAAAAAACAACAATAATAATACTTTTAAGGACTGTTTCATGCTCTCAAAGGATAAATTTGATGCCCACATATACTCAAGTCAAGATTTGATATGAGGTGGCTGGTAATTAAACACGAAAGTTAACGGAACAAGTGAATTCCTTACATCTGCTTAGAATAAAGCGGAGATCGTCTAAAAGCTCTTACAGATCTTGATTGATCTCCTGCCTTGTAGTAATGTAATAGGTTACGTGTGTACGTAAGAATGTATGGTAGATAAAGGCACTTCTTCTCTCTAAATTTTCCACAAAAACAAATGAAAAAATAAGAGGTATTTAATTATTAATCACTATTTCTTAAATTCTAACATGAAAATGAAGAGTGCCGGATACTGCCAACTTTCAAACGTTTTGGCTCTTACACTAATAATGCACGGGATGTTTCGTCTTAATTTTTATGCGAAAATTCATCAGTGTTTAGCCTGACAATGCGGAAAGAAAAACAGTTTGCAGAATACAGTTAATTCATTACTTAAAAATTTCTGCGAAAAATTAATTTCAACTTTTGATCGTTTTTAATGATTTGTAGCTCTTTATTGATTGCAGAGTATACGTTGACTATAGCAGCTGTCAACGACGCCGGAAAACGTATTGCAAGTCAATACCATATTTATCAGGCCTTCACCGAGATCACATAAACAGTTCGGGAGTATGCCAGTTTTGGAAGAAGCGAAAACAATGGCCCACGTTACCAACAATAACATGATCACCATGGCGATGGCCATTTTCAAAACATACAAAATGGCGGACAAGGCAGTGACAAGGGAGAGGAGAAGAACGAGTATTGACCAAAATTCTCGTTTATTCTTGTTTTATCGAGCCTTTTATTTGTCTTTTCGTTACTATGAATTGGGAAGTACCTTGAGGACAGGGAGTAACCATTCTTGTATAGTTCTTCGCTTATCGCGCGCTTAGTAGGCACTGCGTACTCACTGCGTATGTAATCAGTACATCGAAAATAGGTAAGCACGCTAACAAGTTTGTGCCTATTTATTTCATCATTTTTTTATATCATAAGGAAAAAAGAATGCTTTGGAAACAACTAAAAAGTGAGTTGTTCTATAATTCATTGTAATTTTTCCCGTTGCATCTTTTTCTCTGCCGCGAGTGAGCGACTGGCCGAAGAAGACGGCTGTAATTCAGGTTATTGTTTTAGTGCAAGCGAGTCATTTGTGAGTAAAATATCTATTTTTTCGAATATGATGTTCTGTTGGTTTATGTCTTGAAGCAGTTCCGTCCAGGTATACAACAGGTTTACAAGGGATTTCTGAGGGTATTGTGCCCGCGTTTTCTTCTTGAAAACCCACAAAGTGAAAATCTTACTTAGGGAAAGTTCATTTAACATGACAAGGGGCGGGGGGGTGAAGATATTGAGGGGGGGGCTCCGAAAAATTTTAGACACCCGAAGGGGGCTCTGAAAAAAATTGTTGCGCTAGGAGGGGGGGCTCCGAAAAGTTGTATACTTCAAAACCAACACATGACATCATCATACAGATCGGATGGTTTTCAACTCAACAATTTAATGACCTGTGCAACTCAGCTATATCACGTGGTTTACAGATATAACAAATGTAGTCTCAGTAATTATTACACTCTTGTTCATCCCAAAAATGCTTTAGAAAATTGTATCACAACTGTATCTCAAGTTTGTCATAGTATAAACCATTGAAGACAATAACGGTAAATATATTTAATACAGTCTAGCGATCTTTTTTCAGGGGAGCAAAGGAATTGAAGGAGGAGGGGGGGGGGGCTCTGAAATTTTTTCGACTACCAAGGAGGGGGCGCCTAAAAAATTGAACCGCTAGCGAGGGGGGCTGCTAAAATTTCAAGCTTTGAGTTTCAATATCTTCATCCCCCCCACCCTTGTCGTATTAAATGTACTTTCCCTTATCATCCCTGATCATTTTTTTATTGTCCCGCTTCAAAAAAACCTATTGCTTTCAATTATTCCACTTTCTGAAGTTCACTGATTATTTGGTCAAGCTTAACAAATGCAAGAGGCTCTTAAGAATTTAATATACATATTGGAAAACTAAGAATTATGCTTGTTACATGCTTTTGGATCTATTGATTAAAATGGGATACTATAGTCTTGTAGTCCACCGGATTTGACCAGAGGTCAGAGATCAACAAGGTTATGGTTTGTTATAAAATATCCTCTTGTATGGGATTTGATGTTACATCCGAATAATACTAAATTATTGTTTTTAACTCTGGGGTTGCCTTTAAACCAAAGGCATTGTAACTTTGAGGAGCACTTTTCTCCAAGTCTTCTCTGTGGGGACCCTCAAACAATTCTATTAGACAAGGTTTGGCCCAAAATAATAATGATTACTGCACTTGGCATGGACACAACATAAGTTTTCCAAAGTTCTTTTTCATAGCCGGTTCTTCATGTTTCTATTGAACAGCACTTTCAAGAAAACAAAGCTCACACATCAGAGTAAAGATACAATAAAAGTTATTTATTGTTACATTTTGTTTTTTGTAAATAAACATTTTAGTTTAGGTCCTGACAGTTAATTCTTTCCGTATTACTGTTTTTGATTCTGACCTGCATGACTCGCTGCCATGGCTCGCTGGCTCGCATATTATACACACTCTTTTATCTCAAAATCTTGTTTTTTTAACACCTTCTTGGACATGAAAACCAAAAACCAAAACTTAATTGATATAATGAAGACAGTAGCAGCTGACATCGATTTTCAATGGTTATCTTGTGAGATGTCTCTCATGTATTATTTATTAGGGAGGATGATTTGTAGAAGACAACGCATTAACATAGATGCTTTTTCATCAAGAGAATCTCAATAATTTAGGATTTATTCAAATACACACATATTCGATATTATGACATCAAATGTGGGCTTATTGCTCATGTACAGGGATTGATGGGGGAGAGTGTGGCATTTTTCATGTTTCAGATTGACCTTTTGCGCAGCACAGGGACTGAACATATTATGTATTTGGCATCTGTAAAGTATAAACAATATTTGACGCGAGGGATTGAACATTATGTAGAGAAAATCTTCACAAGCCTCCACTTCCATGACTCCTTCCTCATCTATCTCCTTTAAAGCCCCTTGAATAAGGGCCACAGTCTCTTCTATGGTTGAATGGTGATTGAGTGTGAGCTTCCACTCACAAGGTATATAAGCCCCCCCCTCCAACCTGTTTCCCTCTTACCCATTTTTGAAAGGGTCAAAGGAGGGGCTTTTGTGGTGGGTAAGCCTTTGACCACACTACAAAGAAACAAAAAAAACATATTTAATTCTATTGAGGTAGGGTTGAATTTGGACATTAAATTTTTCATTACAGTGGAACATAAGGCGAACCTAGAGCAATATTTTGCCCTCAGAGCACAAATATGTCGTTCTGAAGATATTTAGCATTTTGTCTTCCTGGTTCCTTTTCCCAGCTTTTTGGCACAAACGCGACAACATGTTTGTAATATCTCCACATGTTTGTCTACATTTTTGACGGAAATCCTGATCAAAATAAAAGAAATCAATGTAAGAACCTACTCACACTGATTTAAAACTCATTCCACACACATGATCTGGATCAATAAAGTGATTTCTAGATGAGAGTCGCATAAATTACCGGTGAACACGACCAAAAACAGACCTGATCGATTATAACTAAAACTACATAGACAGACTTAGGCATAACCATCAATATCAGTAACCCTTCCTGTACGTTGGCAATTTTCAATGTGTGGTTGCCATTTTTACTAGGTTGTTGCCATCGATGAAACTTTGCCTGAACACACTTTAAACGTTGTAGTTTTGAGGAAAATTAGTCTTGACTTCGTAAAAATTCGGCAAGATACTGAAAACTAAACATAAAGTCATGTACTTACATGTCGCTTTTAACTACCGAAATGTGGCAGGAAAGTTCCCTTGACATTCAAAAAGCAAGGAGAAGGCTTCTTCACCGGTAGCTCGGAAGTCCCGGATATTGAACGAGGAGAACTAGAACAGGCTTTGAAAAAAGCTCCCTTGTTTCTTGCGATTATTTTTTCCTATTTTTGCGTGTTTTTAGCAGAACAATGGAATCATGACGTCATCGCTTCTTCCAAAACTGGCATACTCCCGTACTGATAAAAAGCCCTCCTGATTCCGGGGTTAATTGCAGAATTAGATACCCTTTCGTACTGAAACACGCATGATGCAATAAGCTTTTTCACCAAGGAATCAAACCAATAATGAACGGATCCAGGAGAAAGATCTTCGGCCTAACATGTGCTAATAAGTATAACGGACCAGTCAAAGAAAAAAAGGAAAAAATACGCAAAAAGAAAGAGGCCAAGAGATATAGTCTGAGTTGGGCAAAACCCTCCAAAATTAGAATTTGGTTGAGTAGGCGTGCCAGCAAGTTTCCAAAAGTCCCGAAAAAAAAGAACTCCCTCCCAGGCTTGCCTGTTCCCTAATTGAAAATGATGCCCTGGCATAAGATTCCAATTTTTTTCGGCAGGAGCTAAACCGACCTCTCCATCACCTTTTAACGAGGGCTTGATTGTTCCCAAACCGGTAACACAGAGGCAACAATATCTGACAGTCCAGGTCCCTTTCCAGCTTTTTTTGTTGTGTTTTGGATTATTTGAGGATTTGATATAACAAACACGAGACACAGTGTTTCAACGCATTTAAAACACCTCTTAAACAATATGGAGTATTTCAAGGAACTTCAAGGTTTTCCGATCCATATTCCGATACAAAAAACGTACTGTCCAGTATATGATAGAGGTATATTCCGACCTAAACCGACCTCTCCATCACCTTTTAACGAGGGCTTGATTGTTCCCAAACCGGTAACACAGAGGCAACAATATCTGACAGTCCAGGTCCCTTTCCAGCTTTTTTTGTTGTGTTTTGGATTATTTGAGGATTTGATATAACAAACACGAGACACAGTGTTTCAACGCATTTAAAACACCTCTTAAACAATATGGAGTATTTCAAGGAACTTCAAGGTTTTCCGATCCATATTCCGATACAAAAAACGTACTGTCCAGTATATGATAGAGGTATATTCCGTAATTCCTCGATTAAACGCCGGACGCCGATTGAACGCTGGTCTCGAAAAAACTCCAGGTCAAAACTGCCGATTTTTAAACTGACAAACAAGAACCAAAAACTTTTAGGTCGCCGTTTCGTAGATTCTTAACATGTTACCAAAGTAGTACATGTATCGTAAGGTTATTTCGTTCCTTTTTCGAGATGGTCTGTGGCTTCACTAATTTGAGGAAGCATAAACCAACACCATCTTTGTCATGGAAATCTAATCATGTTCAACTCTTCCAGTAAGGAGGTTTGACAGATTTCAAGTTATTTGTTAATAGGTCACGTCTTGACTTTTAATTGGATGAAAGAAATAACAAAGGCGTTCATTGGTTACCTGGTTTTTGCAAAACAATTCGTTTGGATGCCAAGCATTAACTACCACAGGAAAAGTTTGTATAACAAGCCAATTCTGACAGATTTTACTGAGATGCCAAGTCATGACGTCATTGTCGTTAACATATTCCACTATAAAAAAGAAGTAAAACATTCCTACTAGACTACTTTCTTCTGAAAAAAAAAGACGCACCGTTCTTTAAAACGCAAATCTTTGGCAAAACGAGTCTAAAGGTGCCTCCATGCAAATATAAAATTAAAAGTTATTGCTTATCCTGCCCGGAACCAATCCTTCTTTGAACAACTGACTCTGGTTCACCAAGCTTTGGAAATGCTTTTCAACTATAAAATAATGCCTCAACTTTGCAGAAAACCCAGGAAAACCAAACTGCTGCGTCGAGGTGGCGGCTTCCCAGGTTTAAGTGTGTAGCGTAAACCGGGTTTGACTAATGGTAACACCAGGTTCAATATACTTCGAATATTTCTGTTTGCTTCTCTATAGTCCTTTTCGCCTGCATAACCAGGTTTCAGTTTGATTGAAAAACGAATGAAACGTTTGTGTACACCTAAAATCATTTATTTAATTCCGAACTAATTTCAAGATTTTCATTTTAATAAGCCTAGAATTTAACACACTCTTTATAGCTGATTAAATGTATGTTGTAATTTCCCAGTCGTTTGGGTCCCGCCCATTCTCGTACATAGGGCATTTTTTAAAGAAAAATAACACACTCTGCCACTCATCTGGAAAGTATACTATGTTATACCAAATTGAATCTATATTGTAATACACTCATCGTTTGGGCCCTGCCCCAAAATGCATTTTCGCACCCACAAGCATTTTTTAGAAAAATTCACCAATCTGCTGCTTATCAAAATACTTCACACCTAGTTGATTCTGTGCTTAAATACCTTTACCCTTTCGGCCCAGTCCCACTTTCTTCTCTCGACCGATGAATCGAGACGAGTTCTTGGTAGTGAACGAGAAACAAGCGGGCCAGGGAAAGACATTGGCCGCGTCTACATCACATGTTCGTTTGCCGACCCACCACCAGTCTAGATATATCCGATCAAATTCCAACATTTCTAAAACTTCCTGCCAGTAACCTGGTGTTTTTTACAAAGCAGAGCGAAAAGCAAATTAGATATGTTTTCGATAACGTCGACGCTTACAATTAATACCCGAAACCAGCCATGACGCCTATCAATTGCCTGGTGATCAAGTTAGCTTTCCATCACGGTTCAGACTAGCTGGCGGCAAAAAGAGAAGAATTTGCTTTAGAGATAATTATTTTTCTACAGACTGTAACATCGTTTTGGACATTTTATAACCATTTACATGTTTTCAACTGATCCTTCACCACTGGCGAAAAGGAAACGGATATATATAGACTGGGCGTTAGGTTTCGTTTAAAATTTTTTATAAAAAATAAGGAAAGCTAACAGCATAACCGTCAATAAAACTTGGAATATATCTTAAAATAACCTACTTACGGTAGACTAACAGTAAAATATATATATATAGCAACTAACACTAAAAGGACCATCCGAAGCCAAAGTTTTTTTTTTTTGGCACATCATCTGCAAATGTTTAAGAACTTTAAAGTAATAATAAGATAAAGAGGTTTATGTGGCGCATTTAAAGAATTGTTAATGCCCTTACAATGATGAATCAAATCTTAATGAACTAGGTTAAATAATTATTTAAGAAAAGTTTTCAAAGAAAAGCTATCAAACGTTGCTTAAAAGTGGAAACAGATTCATAGTGAAAGTAACCGTTGAACTGCACCATCCCGCTTTCAAAGATCTTCATTGGATTTTGATTGGTTCTTGATTGGATCTTGGTTGGATTTTGATTGGTTCTCGATTGGATCTTGATTGAATTTTGATTGGTTCTGTATTATAAATTGTGTAACCCATATGTTAAATATTGTGGACACAAATGTCCGAAACTTTGTCAAGTAGAAAAGGAAAAGGTAGTGCGATCCTAACTTTACACACTTAAGTTTTCAAAACGTTGACGGTAAAAATCCTTCATAAATAAGCGTAGAGAAACCATAAATAACACGTGCAAATCTAAGTGCAAGTTTGTAAGCACGTAAAGGTTACATGAAAATTAATCACACAAGCATGCAACATGGATAAAACAAAATATGATCCTTTTTAAGAATAACATGCTGGATTTCAAAGCCACAAAATAAAATTTAGTTTAAAGTTGTTAATTTCGTATCAGAATATTTTCCAAAAATCTTACCATAAAAATACTACCTAAAGGCAACGACTGAAAAAATAGGTATGTACATAAATACTTCAATGGAAACATATTTACTGCAAAATATGCAAGCAGTTATTAAATATCTCATTCACAAATAACTTCCTTTTATCCAGCGGAATGGAAAATATATCCGGCGTAATGTACGTTCGGCACAGTACGCCCGCAAGTCATGACTTCTAACGTTACGCAATACACAGAGCCTTCTTATCTAATTTCGTAATAAACCTAAGCGAGGTCTTGGGTCAAGTTTTCTCCCAACATTCTGTCAAGGTCTTCCTGGAAAGTTTTGAAAGTTCGGAATACACTAAGCGACAAGTTGCAGCATTCCGTCGCAGTGGCAAATCATTTCTAGGGTACTGGAGGTTTCTGTGAAAATCTGCCTCCATAACAGAATTTTGTCGCGGTGACAAGTCGCTCAAAATCAAATTACATTAAATTTGAGCGACTTGTTGCGTCGACAAGATTTTCACAGACATTCTCCAGCATACACGAAGCGATTTGTCGCTGCAACGTGTCGCACAACTCGCAGCCAAAGCTGTACACAAGAACTGACTTGTCGCCCCGACATATTGCATCGATATGTCGCCTAGTGTGCTCGAACTCGACAAAACCGCCACCTACACAAGGTAATATCACCATACCCACAACCAAAATAGAACAAAAATGTAAGACCATTTGTCTAGACCATCTCTGCTGCTTGGTTGTCAGTTAGGAGGGATTGCGTGTCTGGTATTTGACGGTAAACGCCGCTGTCGAACGTGAAGGATAGCGGCGGTTCGTATATTCGAGGTGTCTGAAAAGTAAATCGATAATAAAGGTGAATAGGTAAAGAGCCCCATGACATGGCTGCCACGTCGGTCTTTATGTAAGAACTAACAAGGAGATTTCCGAAATTGACCGAGGGCTCCCGTACACGATCGGAAATATTCCGATGTTGCTGAGGCTGGTCAGTATGGCGGCAGTATCGTTCTCGGTTTGCTTTGAACGAGAACGAGGCGTCGTTTGAAAAACCCACAGCAACAAAGAAACATTACCAACAAGGGCAACAGTAAAAAAATCTTTCAGTTTTGTAAACCATTTTCGGTTGTGTTTGACCAAGAAAAGAGAATAGGAAACGGATTACCACTTTCAAAGTAAGATTGGTATTAGTTTATAATTCTCTTTGCAATTGTTAGAAAACGAATAACACTAACTTGTTAAAGCATTAGAGGTCTTGTAACAATAACTAACTCAAGCTAAAGGTAGACATACCACATCTCCTATCTGTTCTTCTAGAGGAACGATGTTTTCTTGCTGTTGAGACCTCTTTTTCCTTTCTCTATAACACCACCACACAGCAACAGCAATAACAAGCACTGATACCACAGAAACCACAACGCTTACAATCATCGTCTGACGGGACTCCGGACTCCCAGATGGCACCTGATGGTCTGGTGTGCCTACAAAAACGGTCATTTATTTAAAAAAAGGATGTGAATTATTTTAAAAAAAACAACAGTGTAGGTAGTAATATATCGAAGGGAAGCGCCCTAGAATTAGGGAGTTTTAGCATCGACGACGGCGACGGCTGCGAAAACGTCACTTTGAAATAAATTTGCGTTTTTTTCAAATTTTGTCGCGCTTATTCCAATTCGCTGAAAATGTCAAATGTCGGCGAATTTCCCTGGAGTTGATTTCTTGGGGACCACATTCAAGTTTTGAAAGAAAAAGAAATTTTTTGTCGCTTGTTTACGTCCTCCATAAAACGTGAAAATAGGGATTTTCAAGCTGTAGTCGTGCAGTGACGGCTAAAAAATGTAGAAAAAGCGTGATGCACGTGCAAAGTTGTTGTTTTCCTAATCAAACCTATTGCTTTTTTGACGTTCTAGATGCCTTCGCCGTCGTCGTTGCTATAGCTTTCTATTAGGGAACTTAAGCACCAGTCATTCTTGGTAGCGCGCACGCCAACCGGAAGTATTTTTGCAGCATGACAGCCACTGCGCTTGTCAAGACGTTCTTGAGCTGCGGTCACGGACTTCAAAACGCGAGTTCTCCGGTTGAAACCAGAGGTTCAAATTCTGGGTTCTTCGAGAGTATTCGTCACACAAAAGTAGGACTTCTTCGTCTGAAATCATGTTTTCTTCGTAAGAAAGAAACAAAACTTGACGCAAATCTTTGAAAGACATTTTCAACTGAATTATTCTGTCGGCGTTCGTGATGGTTTCACGTTGTTTTGCATGATGATTTGCATTTGTCGCGCAAACCGCGTCCCCGATCCACTTCTGCGCGGCCAGTCATGCCGTTCGTGAATCAAGAACGTCTGGTGCTTATAAGTTCCCTTCTGTCTTGTAGCCAACGGCGACTTGGTTTTGCCCTTGGCCTACTCAGAGTTTTAGAGTTCCCTACATTGTTTCTCTGAGCACAACCTTGATATAATAACAACATGGATAAAAAGACGCTGGGTCGACAAAGACCGTCTGTTTAAAAGGATAATTATATAGAGAACAAGAAAGCAAATATACTAATATGAATGCTTTTGAGGCAAAAAACAAACAAAGAAACAAACAGTGATCCCTTCCAGGTATTCTATTAGATTTTACGCACTGTCAAAAAAAGCATGCAGCACAGACAATTATTACGGATAACTTGAACGTGGTCACTATGAATCACACTTTATCGTATCAAATTATTTTTCACCTTCACAATTTCGAACACACGTACAAATGTTAAACACTCAGTTACTTTGTTGTTGTTTTTTTAACATATACTAGCAGGTAACTTTACTACTGGAGAAGATTCAGTCAAAATATCTTTTCTTTATTGGACTGCGACGAACAGGAGGCAACTTTCCCTTTCGAGCGACGCATATCTTGGTTATACTGGAATGCCACGCAAGAAGACAGTTATAAACTTTGGCGATTTACTCGTTTGTGATAGAAATTGCATTATTCAACTATTTATTTTCAGAGAGATCAAAATTTTAAGTTGTTACCTTATAACTATTTTCTCAGATTACAGTGGACCGTCTTTCGAGTGAGGTTTCACTTGAAATATTTTACATGAACCAGAAAACATTATAATCTGTTATAGTTTTGATTATTACCTTTGAAAATTCATTATGTTTAAAGTGTCTCCTATCAGTTCCAACCTCTTGGCCAAGTTACGGCGGACATACGCTTAAAACTACTTATAATGGACAGAAGATTATTGCAACATTACCTCTTTTTTAGTAGAGAAAATGTTAATGTTCACTTTCATGGACTTTTTCCTATGGTTGCCATATTTGATGGGTACAATAGACATAACAAAAAGAACAATAAAGCACTGTAATTCGTCTTGAAATATTTTTAGAGAGCTTTAACAACGAAGACGACGACGCGAACGAGAACGATTAAAAAAGCAGTATGTTTAGTCTAGCAAAACAACAACTTTGCACGTGCATCACTCTTTTTTATACATTTCCTTACCATCGCTACACGACGACAACGTGAAAGTGCCTAATTTCAAGTTTTGCGGAGGACGTAAACGCAAGAAAACAACTTTCTTTTTTTTCCTGAACTTTGATACAGTCTTTAAGAATTCAACTCCAGAAAAATTTGCTAACATTAGACAAATTGAACGGGATGAAATAAGCGCGATAAAGTTTGACCCAGCGCGAATACAGTTTTTACTGAATCAGGTGAAGTTTTCGTAGTTGTCGCCGTCGTTGTTGCTTAAGCTCCCTAATGTATCAGCTACCTGGTTCACTTAACAGTTCACATTTTTCACAGCTCAAATTCCTGGTTGCGTTAGGACCACATCCTGCCTGCGTACAAAACTGCACCGTGGCGAGGTAACTTGAATGAATGCTGAGGTTGTGTACAGTGTATGTCACCAACGAACCATTAAAATCCGCTGCCAGGGGAACAGAAAATGAAGTAACAGGAGCACCAAATTGATTTTCATCCTGATCTTGTGAATCACTCCACAGCTTAATAACAGACTTGATTGGAATTCCATTCCACTCATGCTCTTCACTAGCCTACAAAATAACGTTCGAGATAATTGATTCTATTTCTCCAGAGTAAATAATCTACGGTTTTGTGTCCCGGCGAACTCCAAGATGCGACCATTTCAATAAAACTTCCCCGCAGTAGTATTACATATCGCGTGGTACTTAAACCCATAATGCTTAGTCTGCTAACTGATACTGACTTTTGCCCGAAGCCTGTGGACCAGATCGTCCTCCCTTTCGAATGACAACCACTCTTGACTGGCAGAACTTTTAGATGGGACTATTTAGTCTTTCAGTATTTTTCGAGGATTTCCTGAATTACAACTCAAACTTTCTCGGGAGACAATTTAAATTGTGGACAATTTTTCAATATATATATTTTTTACAATCAATGTAACTTGTTTCTCATTTATTTGAGGTATACGTTTAATTAGCTGAATTATATACCTTCCACTTTAGAACGGCACTGAAGTATCTGTCTCCACACGAGGCCTCACACGGCTGTAGCAGAGGCTGTTTTGAAGGAGCTGTCAGTAGTGAGAAAATAAAGAGGAGATAAATATGCGTGGTTGGTTAAATGTTATGTTAAGTTCAAGACCGCCCCATAAACTCATCGACCACTTGCAGATTCACCACAATCCACTACGTTTGACCCCGAAATATTACATACATGTATAATTCTCAAGGGGCGATTGCATTTTGCGGTTCGTCCGAAAGAAAATTGAAAACAAGGCTAGTGGAAAAGCGTGGGCGGAGAGAGGATGAAACAAAGTGCATGATAGCCAATGTGTGTTGACGAAAAGATTGAAATGGCAAAAGAAATAACTTTGCTTATGACGATGTTCGTGGCTAAGGTAAGGGGTGATCATGGTGACGAAGGAAGGTGATTACGACGACGACGACGACGCTAGTAACGATGACAATGATGATGGCAGAGTTAGTGGCGGGGCGGTAACTACAACACTGATGATGATGGGGATGGTTAGTGATGATGACCGTATTCGAGAATTTTTTCTTTCAACTGAGAAGTTAGTATGCGGTAAGGGTTACAATCGCATCACGCCTTTCACATTTAAAAGCTGCAATCTTCGGGTTTTACTTTGAATACTTCGTTAATGGTCTTAGCGTGTCGTAACCTCATGAACGCTGCTATAAAATCAAGACGCGGAATCGTGCGGCAGCGGAGCGAAGCTACTCTTGCTTTCGCTAAACCCAAGCGAACTTTAGGAATGTCGCGAGAGGGCCATAACAAGTATGCAACTGCCCCATAAGCATTAGAATTTGCATCTGCAAATACGTACAGCTCAGTCAAGCCTGTTAAGAAGGTGGAAATTCCACATACGTTAACGTTTCGATGACTGACAAAAGTTCGATGCACGTATTTTTGATCTCCTCACGTAAAGGGTCGCCCCAGTCAAACGTCTTCATTTTCCAAATTTCTTTACGCAACTCTTGCCTTAATTGTGTCCAAGAGGTTGAAAATTTTCAAAGATCTTTTTTGATAAGACTTTTCGCTTTGTGAACTAGCCACTCAGCCGAGGATCCTTTACTTCAAAACAGGGTTCCAGCCAACCTCAACTCTTCACCTAAATTGACTTCTTTTACTTGTAAGCTCTGTTGATGATTGGATAGGGCGTTGCCCTACTCTGTTTCAGCAAGAGGAGGTTCGATAACATTACTGGCATCTATTTTCCTTTACCTGAACTTAGAAGATCACTACCATTCCTCTATTTGAAAACTCCCCTTTACGAGAGCTTGATGGAGGGTTGTCATCCGATTGACCGCCTTATAGGAGGTCAAACAATGAATGAGGTAATTCATTTAGTTATGTGAGCGTCAGTTAGAGTTCTGCTGCATCCAGGTACTCTTCCTCATCTCAGTTCCTTAGCGATGGGAATGATTACGTAGCCGGCCGTGTCGGATGACGGTTTGTCACCATAGGTTACTCGGGACAGGACTTGCATAGAAGGCGGTCTCCGAATCTACAAGAAATTACGCTAGAGAGAGCATTGAGCTTGAGTGTCCTTTTCTGGTGGGAGAATCCGTATTGTCCCCTACGAATCCAATAGAATATTCCCGACAGCGTATCAGGATGCCCAACAAATTTCTCGTAAGGCAAGGTCCTTTTCAGAGAACTGAATTGTCGAAAGCACCTTGGTATTTACAGGCGGAATAGTAGACCACCAAGCGTGGTGCACCTGGTTCACGGTGTGGAAGGCAAATTCCTAAATCGCACTACATTAATTTTTAACATCCATCCTCTGGACGAAGCTGAGTGACCATACCTCAAGGTCACCACTTTTGCTTTCTATAGCGCCAATCTCTTTCCATCCTAGGTGTTCATTAAATACCGGTTTCTCCACTGGTTAGAAAGACAAACCTTGACGGACCTCTTCTTCTGCATGGGAATGGCTGTACTGGACTCCTAAGTTTAAATCAGTTGGGCCTTTCTTGTGTGAGAACTGAACATCATGAAGGTGAGGGAATGATTTTAGCAATTGTCTGTCTAATGAGGGAACATTCACTAGTGTGTTATAGATTTAGAGAGCTTCGATTTTAAATTAAGTCCTCAACCCTACTAGTCTTTAGGGGAGATCCGAAGTTTTAATCCTCAGCTTTGCTTTTGATCAATCCTTTTGCCCTCAATTACCGCTAGGAAAGGCATAATGCGATTGTTACCTCAGTTCTCTAACAAAATTTTCTGAAGAATGGGTCTCTCTAGCTTGCAAGAACTTGAGGGATTGAAAATGAGTCAGATGATCTTCGTTGTCTACGTGCTTATCGCAACTGAAAAACTAAACCTAAGAAAGTTCAGTTAAAGAGAGTGAAATCTCTTTATAATCTTTCAATCAATGCAATAGATTTAACAGAATTCAATTTGAACTCTGGCATATCGAAAAATCATTACACAAGTCGCAATATATTTCGCAAGAAACCACGTGCGTTTAGACCAGTATTAATAGATTAAACAATATTACCTTCGGGTAATGTGCGTTGAAAGACTGGCCATCCTTCTATATACTTAGAACCACCACAAGTACACAATGATTTATTTACATGTGACGTCAGCCCCCAAAATTCACAACAAATAGTCACGGAGTAGTTAGACCAAGGTTTCAGGCCAGTAAAGGTATACGAGAAGTTATGTTCACGTAAAGCTGAATCCGGCTAAAAGCAAAAGCACGGGAATATTAGAAATATGGTTGTGACACGTCCACTCAGAGAGCGCTGAGCAGGCCCAGTTTCAGTTCCTTGGCAACAATTTTAATATAATCATCTGGTTTTTCCTCTGCCATTTGGAGATTTTACTTCCGTTTTGCTTTACCTGTGAACAGTGGTTTCTCCATGCCGGAGGCCACGCTACAAAGGGAGAGAAACCACTACGAGCAACCGTTTGCTTTTTTGATCAAGCCGTCGTCCAGCGCTAGGGTCGAATAAATTAACTTTGACCAATTAAAACTTGGCTGATAACTGCTGCTGTAATGCGAGTCTGCTGTAAATATTTCTACCCACTTTGTCAAACGTTGTAACCGAAAGGACCATATCCATGCTCAGAAAAAGAAATAGAATTTGGCCGTTGCTCGTTTACGTTCTCCGTAAAACTTGAAATTAGGCATTTTCACGACGTAGTCGTACAAAAATGTTTGATGCAAGTGCAAAGTTGTTGTTTTAACATATTGGTTTTTTTTGTAATTTTGACGTTCTCGTTGCCGTCACGTCGTTGGAACTTTAAAAGAGGCTGTCCGCGTAAGAACCGATAAGGCAAATTTCGGTCTATCACGGATTGCCCTGATTTTACCAGTGGAAGATAACTATCCTATCCCATGAAGAAATATCACATTTATTCGGACCAACTCAATTTTTTCACTATATTACAAGAAGATTTTCTCGGTCACCTAAAACTGGCCAGTTTGCCGTCGGAAGTGGTGCGATTTTGGTGAAACTTTAGGGCTCTGTCAAACCTGCCTCACAAAGCCGAATAAGCTGATTAGTTTTACACACAAAAGTTTTAACTCCGATTAATAGTTTCAAGGTTTAGTGGTTGCATTCTGTGGAAAGTTGGCTGAGATATGATTTTTTTAAAATGACCTTTAATTTGCTTATCGAGCAAAGTAATTTGCATAACTAGAGCTGAACGGTAATTTCGCAAAAGTGGCACCTGACCCTGACTCAAGTCTATGATAAAACAGAAGTACTAAGACCAGTCTACTTCTTAATGCAGTAAAATTTGTGGGCACTCTTCTTTGCGTGCTGTACAAAGTTCCGTTAATGTTCCAAAATTCCCCATTTTGACAGCAAAGCTGGAATTGTAACGGTCTGCATCTGGTCGACTAATTTCCACAGCTTTAACGTTTCTAGTTATCACTAACTGTCATTAGACCCTTTAAATGTTGGACTTTCGAAAACATGTGAAGAAAACTTGGTAATCGCTTTTTCTTGGTTTTTTTCTTGTCGACGATGAACATGACTTCATTCTCCGTATGCAAATTGGCCTTGGATGCGTCGTTTCAACAAATTGACAGGAAATATAGTACTTGTGTTTCATATTTTTAAGGGAAAAATATCTCTTCTTTCCACGGAAAAACACGAACGATGTATGACTTAGAATCCCCTTAGGTCTGTTTCTTTTACGAGGAAGAAGCAGCAGAAGAAGATATGATTACGCGAATTAAAATAATTTAATTACTGTGGCTCGTCACGCATTCCCCCAGAGTGACCGTGTATCGATCAGTTCTTTTATCTTATTATATCTTTTTTGAGGTTAAAGTTATTGATAATCATACAATTTAATCACTGTTAATTCCGGTTCTTTACTGGGTGGGAAATACCGTGTTGTTGTATTCATTCACTAGGATAGGGTTTAATATGACGGCCCATGGTGTAATACACGACAATTAGCCAAAAAATGGTCACTTGGAAAAAAAGAAAAAGGCATAGTTTTTTGTTTACGGTCCGTCTCCTGTTAAATCCCAAAAGTTTTTGCTGGCTGTTAATCACACTAAATTAAGGATCCCTATCTTGTCTATGTTTACTTCTGAGCTGATGGAGAAAAGCACATGCACTCAGTGAATGAAAGACGAAAGTTTGTAAATTAGGTCTCCTTTTCTTTCCCTGGATTTGAATGGTATTTCAAAGTGACACAACTTATTTTTTGTAGCATTACCCAGGGCTGTAGCTAGGTTTTTTGTAACGAGGGGCATTATCGCGAGAGCCGAAGGCACGAGCCTTGGAGGCTCCGAAATGCTATTTTCAGCACTTGCCATGAGATATGTCTCCGAAAAATAGACCTCGAAGATGAAAATGGCAAACAATTGCAAATCGCTATAACCAAAATAACTGAGTCAAAAGAAAACAAATCCATGCACAGACTTGATTTGTCTGGCTCAACAGGTCCAGGGGAGGCAGCTGCCCTACGGCTCTGTTACCACGTTGAACTGACTAGGTTGATCTTTCTTTGACATACACAGAGGTTGAAAGCTTCTGATTGAGGGTGTTGTGGTCTCAATTATTCTTCAGCGATTCCTGCAACAAGCTTTTGCCTTTCGAACGCCTCGTCTTCTTGCAGCAGATCTCTATGATCAAGTTCAACGTATATTCAAGTTCATTACATTGGTTATTTCGTCCATTGCCTTATTGTAATTACACTTAGGACTATGTTTAGGTGTTGACTCAAACGGGCCTAGAGTCCAACATGGGCTGGCAATAGGTGAGCACGGAATTGGAACGGGGGTGGGGGGAACTCCCTATGATGGCCTATAAGGGGAGGCTCCGCCCGAAAGGGGTATCTTTTACAGGCTTCAGGTATATGAAAGGGAAGGAATTTCACTAGATGAAGTATATGAAAGGGCGAGTGCGCTTATTACAGCCTTAGCAGCACCTTTGGCGGTTCTTAAAGAAAAAAGAACTAAGTTGAAGAATTTAAGGAAAAAGTAGAAGGACTTAATTTTTCAGAAATTAATATACAGAGGAGAAATTTCACCCCTTTACGTATAAATGTTTGTAAAAGTAGAGGTGGAACCGGAGGGAGAGAGGGTGGATGGTAAAGTAGGTTAAAAACAGAGAGATGGGAGGAGCACTTTGATGGAGCACATTGTTCAAGAGGGTATAAATACAAAAAAAACAATCTGGAGGCATTTTTGAAGACTTAATGAAAACGTTATCAAAACAAGAAAAACAGAGAAATCTTGCCCAATAAACCTCTCCGGCAAAGGTGTAGACATGGTTGCTGACTGCTCAATCGTACTCTTCTCGACCCTTCGGCGTCACGATTTTCACGTTTCTTGCCACAGGAGGAGCAAATCGGCTATATAAAGTTGAACTGAACATTCTGGTACTTTTAAGTCTCACTAATTTTTACAAAACCAAAGATATGTTTTAAACACTGTTTAAGTTAAAAAAAACTTGTTTTTACTGCAAGAATGAAATACTTTTCACACACGTCCCAAGGACATTCCTCTTAGAAAATGGCAGGGGGGAAGCCCTGGGGACGAGGTTGAATCCTGACTCCGTGTAGAAAGTTCTTTCTTTTTTCCCCATTTATAATGCTCTTCAAACAATCATCAGAAAACTATCTTTTACAACACACAGATTAACCTTTATGTATAGTATTTTATAGGTAAGAATTGATTAGACCAAGATACACGGCTGTCAAAAAATAGAAATAAATAAACTACCGTAAAATTCCGAAAATAAGCCCCGGGGCTTATATTTTTCAAAGGCCCTTTTTGAGGGGCTTATTTTTGAGGGGCTTATATTCGGAGGGGCTTATCTATGGAGGGAAATTTGCGTCTCAAAATCGATTGGGCTAGCCTTACAGTTGACGGTAAATTTACCGTTTTTGCTTTGTTTTACTTTGTATTTAAGGGAAATATTCCAAGTACAAGCCCTCGGGGGGCTTATATTTGGAGGGGCGATTTAACGGAGGGTTTTTTGCGGTACCGGTTTGGGGGGCTTATATTTGGAGGGGCTTATACATGGAGGGGCTTATTTTCGGAATTTTACGGTATCTTTGCAAGCTCAACTAAACTGGAAACGAACATCAGAAAACATCGCAAGATAAAATGTTAAATGGAGAAATAAGAATATCTCTGTACGTTTAGAAATTTTTTGCATGAAGAAGAAAAAAGAATGATACTTACATGATGGAGCAAAACTTTGACTTATTTCCCGCCACAGTAGTTATTTTGCCAGTATGATCCAGAGTGTGACCGGGGTATTGACAAGACCTTAGGCTCGATTTCCGCCGTCTCCCATCCCTTGGGGGCTCATTTTCCAGCACAGCGGCTTACAATTGAGCCTAACAAGACCTTGGAGCTCGCAAAAACCTGCCAAGTAGGTGTCTGTGCCTCGGGAAGATTGTCATTTTAGTGTTAGCCCGTGTACACACCACCCCCCACCCCCTCGGAGAAGGGGCCCCTTCTCCGATTTTTCCTAAGGGGAGGAGGGGGGGTCTGTACACAGGCTATTTAGTGTCTGTGCCTTGGGCAGATTGTCATTTCAGTTCCAAATACCTACCAAACCTCTACTCTCGCTAAAATGAGTTCATTCAGTCATTGACTTTGCTACACTTAGACAAGTGACAGCTGGCTAAGTGCGACGTAATATCATTCATGCACTCTGCGACCAACACATTTCCCTCCACACCCCTACTGGGACCACACTCTGTCTTGACGATCTCGCGAAAAGAACAGCTTTTTTGACAATTGATCCCTTTGGCGATTTCATTGACATAATTATATTTGAAACAGGCACCTGTTACATTATAATTCAATTAGATTGAAACCAAAACAAGATCACCTTGGGAATACGGATGTTATACCCTAACAAAAACTAAAAACTGAGATAATCCCTTTTGCATGTATTCACTGAAAAAAGAAACTATTTTTCCCGTTTCATTCTGCTACCGATAAATGCTTTAAAGATCTTTGAATGAAACTGAAATTTACAGCTAATTTGCCTTTTGCAAAGCTATACATGGATTTAGATAGAAAAAGTGTGGGGCATTTTTTTTTATCATAGTGCCGTGTACAAACATCTGATAAGCAAAAAAGAGTGCCCACAAATTTTATTGTGGTGACAAGAGGACTTACCTTGCAAGTTAACTCTTATTTTTAATTATCATCAATAACTACCATTTAAAAAAAGATGATAATATAATAAAATTGATCGATTCAACGCTATTGTTTTCTAATCGACCGCCCCTCTTTAGGAAAGCGTGACAGGCCACAGTAATTGAATTATTTTAAGCCACGCAAACATATATCATTATATATTATTCAGCTGCTTCTTCCTCGTTAATTAAAAAAAAAAAACAGACCGTAAGAGGATTCTAAGTGATGGTTCGTGTTTTTCGGAACTTTGTAAAGCACGCAAAGAGGAGTGCCCACAAATTTTATTGCATTAAGAAGTAGACCGGTCTTAGTACTTCTGTTTTATCATAGACTTGAGCATGGGTCAGGTGCCACTTTTGCGAAATTACCGTTCAGCTCTAGTTATGCAAGTTACTTTTCCCGATAAGCAAATTAAAGGTCTTTTTAAAAAAATCGTATCTCAGCCAACTTTCCACAGAATGCAACTATTAAACCTTGAAACTATTAATCAGAGTTCAAACATTTGTGTGTAAAATAATCAGCTTATTCGGCTTTGTAAGGTAGGTTTGCAAGAGCCCTAAAGTTTCCTTAAAATCGCACCATTTCCGACGGCAAACTGGCTAGTTTTAGGTGACCTACAAAATCTTTCTGTAAAATAAAAAAAAAATTGAGTTGGTCCGAATAAATGTGATATTTCTTCATGGGATAGGATAGTTATCTTCCACTGAAAAAATTAGAGCAATCCGTGACAGACCAAAACTTGCCTTATGGGTTCTTACGCGGACAGCGTCTTTAGGTCCCTGATGATTCTTGCGAAACAAGAGAAAGTAATGTCATTTAACTTCACGTTTTGACGTAGGCGTCACGTGGACCCGTATGCTCAATGGAAAAGCCAACGAACGCGTTTGCTCGAAGTGGTTTCTCTCCTTTCGTAGCGTCCGGCCTTGGATACCATTGTTTGCAGGAGACGTTTTGCTTGACTAGACTATTTCAGTGAAATACATATAGATAATAATTTTTTTAACCTGAGTTGGTAAAAAAGATTACTCTGACTCAAATAAACGATTTCATCCTCTGGCTCACTTGCGAGATCTGTTGACAGCTTCAAAAGTTTTTCAACTCGCTGGAATCGATACTAATTAACATGTAAGTTCTAAAATACTTACGAGTAACATTCTCGCAATTGCTTTAGTCCCAGGCGTAGTTAATCGCTAATCGATAAAAATCGATAGTTATCGATATCAATCATCGATGAAAATCGATTTCCGATATCAATCGATAAACAAAGAAGTAGTGACTTCGATTAACATCGATTTCAAGTAGAAATCGATTATGATTGATTTATCGATTGTTATCGACTACTAGCGATTATTCTCAGAGAATACTTAACTTTAGCTAGACTTTCAAAAAAGTCCTTCTTCGGACTTAATATGACTTCATCGCTCGCTCGGCCACTTTGGGGCCTAAAAAGATCGCTCCGCTCGTTTAGAAACTCGTGAGGTCGACTTGTGGCAAGTCCAATCATGAACAAGATGTTGTCTGTACGGTATTATTGACCATTCAGTCGTGATATTATGCAGTTGTTTTAATTGATAAAATACTAAAAAGGTTTGGCGATACACATTTACATAACAGCTTTCGCCGAACCAAGTACGACCCCTTATGCCAAAAGATGGCAGCGATCTGGAGGTCTTCAATGCCCAAAATATATAAGGCACTGGATTCCAATTATGAGCGACATTAGAAGGAAAGAAATACAAGACGCAGTCGATGGCGCAGGATTGAATGGACATGTAAAGATCTATTAAAACCAAAGAAACAAAAAAAAGGAACGTGATGAAGACTACGCTCGGAGCAGTCGCTGAACTCATTAATAAAATGTTTCAAGCTTGAGCCGGTCTGGTGGATTTCGTTTGCCAAATAGCATCGTCAAGTTCAGAATATCAGAGCTTAATACACCTGGGCCCATTGTTCAAAGGCTGGATAGCGCTATCGAGCGGATAAAACACTATCCAGTGAATAGCGCAATTGGTTTCCCTAATCATGTACTTATCCACTGGATAGTAATTTATCTGGCCGGGGTTGCTCGAAGCATGGTTAGTGCTAACCAGCGTTAAATACCATGGAAACCTATACATTTTGATACCTCTTAACCAACGGTTAGCGCTAACCAGGCTTCGAGCAACCGGCCCCTGGTGGATAGCGCTATCCACCTTTGGAACAACTGGAGCCTGAAGATTATTGTTTGCTATCGATAACTATCCATTGTTATCGATTTTTGTTAATCTATAAATTTTGCTTTCGTACACTGGTACATGTTAGCTAATGCAATCATTTGCACTTTGGATAAAAGCGCTATGTATTCTGGTTAAAAGCGCAATGGCTTGTGATGAAAAGGAGGACATCGAGATTTTTCAAAGACATTTTTGAATTCTGATTATGCTACGCTCGCGCTGCCGACTTGTGAACTTGAAAGTCGCGATCGCATTTTCAATACTGTGTCTTGAAATCAGGTTTTGAATAATTATCATATGCTTGCCTTCACCTAACAAGCGATGTATACTGTGGCGAACGCAGAGGTGACACAAAAATCTCTCTTTTCCGAAAGATACCTACAGACGTTTCCGACTTATTTGTTTGTCGCGCGTCGTGTACGAAAATTAGTCGAAAAATTTTTTGTCATGATATTATTTTGTCTGTGGATAGGCTAAATACGTTTCCTTAAAGTGTCTATGAGACAAAAACGTTTTGGAAGGTTGACTACCCTTTTAATTTTTGAAAAATAACCAAAAACCAAAGACATTTGAATGTGTCCAGTTATTTCTAAATTTGGCTACAAGTTGCTCTTCGTTATACCAATATCAGTTATTAACGTACTGTACCTGTATGCAGGGTGTTGATTGATGATCTTGCGGTTTCAGCAACAGTCTATAATCTATTTTTGGAATTCCCTTTAGTTCAGGTGGGCGTTGCCAGTGAACAGTCAGCTCCCTTTTGTTTGTTGCAAGAAGTCGTACCGACTTTGGTGGAGGAATGAGGACTAGGAAGTAAGGCAATTTCAAAAATTCAGCAACTCATAAACATGATACGCTACATATAAGCGTTTTAGTATTCACCAAATCGGTGGATAGCAATTTTCGCGCGTTCTGATTGGCTCCCGTAACTCGGAATATCCTTGGATATTCACTGTTTTGGGACGGGATTCTCGTTTCGCGACAGTTTCGAAAGATGAAATTTTAGCGGTAAATGATACAGGTGTACCAAGGAATACCAAGAAAGAGACAAAATTTGGCTTGTCAGCATTTACTGGTCGGTAGAAAAAAATTTCTTACTGAATTTCAACAAAATCATAAAAAATGATCCCCGAAACACTGTCAATTGCCATGTAAACAAACTGTAACTAAGTGAAGTCTGTTATTTACGAAAAGTTCGTTTATGATTTTTATCCAACTGATTTGGTAAATACTAAAACAACTATCCCCCCTCAGGGTCAGTTCATAGCGCTAGATATATACTTGTATTCACCTCCCCTTCGGGGGATAGTTGTATAATAGACCAAGTGTGAGGTCAATATGACTGGATATTCGCCAAGTTCAATATAATACCAGCAATGTTGACCAAACAAGCTTTGTCAATAAAGGATTTATTATATGGCCAACCACGGGAAATCCATAGCGGGTAAGACAGGCTCATTTTTTTTCTTCTTTTTTTTTCAGTTTCAGACCTGGCCTTTAGGCAGAAATTATGTCATCATTACTTAGATTAGAGCGCAAACAAAAAAAAGATTGTTCAAATCCATTTAGAATTCATATATTTCTAGTTCTTTCTCACTCCTTTAAAATTGAAACGATAAATACGTTCATACACTCCCGTAGTTCCCTCGAAAACAAATCCCGATTCCAGACCAAAATGGGCAAAACTATACCCGTTTTCAGACCAAAACGGCGCAAATACCCTACCCGACCGAACGGCACATACCTATATAGCTTATATAGGGGAGTACCCCCTGCTGGGTACGCGCCTCGTTGGCTATCTACCATCTCATATCCAACGCTCACTCGTGGAATAATTGTTAGATAGATAGATAGATACAGAGGGGCGTACGATGCTTTTAACACGTGAAAAAAAAACAACAACAACAAAAACAAACAAACAAACAAAACGGTCCGTCCAATACGAAACTTGCAAATGAAAGAAAATGAAGTTTTCCCGCCTTTGAATTTAATGTGAACAAGAGTCCTCAAAATGGAATAAAATATCTTCGTAAATTTCATTTTCACTGAAGAAAATTGTAGAGCTGAGCGTACACGACAACTACAGTAGAAAAGGAAAAAAAAAAAAACAAGTAAACTTGGGCTGTTTTGTTTTTAGTGTATTCTGTTGCCTTTAATTCGGTAATCTTTGGTTATTTGAACCAGCCATTTCACTCAAGTTCACAAATTTTCCACCAGCTATTGTGGATCAGAACTACAAGTTAAGATTAATTGTAATTTCTCCTAATGCACTACGAGCTGCACTACCTCATATAGATCCTCATTACCTCATTCTCCTCATTCTAGCGGTTTGGAAAGATTAAAGAAAGGCTGGCAGTTTGATGAATATCTTAGCATGTGTATAATTAAAAAAGGGAAAGTGCTTTGTAAGGTATTTACGAACTCGGCTTTTTAAGTTCAAATCTCACTCGTTCGCTGCGCTCACTCACAAAGTTATTTTGATACGTCAACGTCTTGACTCGAGGGTACGCACCCGTCCGTCTTCTCCTGCCTTTCTGGCCGCCGTTGTAAGTGCTGTCAAGCAAGCGCTAGCGGCCGAGCAAACTTCGAATCTGCCTTCAACGCCTGCCACTAGTTTTGCTTCAAGCGTGCCAATGGCGGCCTCGCTTGGGGGCGTTCCTGGTTCGTCTTCGTCTTCGTCTTCTACTGGCCAACTCGATGCCCAAGCCTCAAGCTTGGCAGCCTCTGGCATTGGTTTTTCGTCGGTCTCACCGGCTGTTCTGCTACGATATGACGTCCAGGCCAACACGTAACAGCCAAGCGGCGGCTTTTGATGCCATGATTTCTCCTGTTGAAAGCAACCCGTCCAGTTCGGCGGCGAAGTAGTAGTAGTTTTGGTGTCATTCCGAAAAAGGGCCAACCAGGCAAATGGCGTCTCATGGTGGATTTGTCTTCCCCCTGGGAGGCTAGTGTCAATGATGGGATTAGCGCAGATGAGTTTACTCTTCATTACATCACTGTTGATCAAATTATTCGCTCAGTGTCTCGCTTGGGGAAAGGGGCCCTCATGGCTAAGTTTGACGTCGAGTCCGCGTACCGCAATGTTCCTGTTCACCCATCCGACCGTCACCTGCTGGGGATGAAAATGGCGTGACCAGTACTATGTTGATCTAGCCCTCCCCTTTGGCCTTCGTTCAGCTCCATTCATCTTCAATGCGATCGCCGATTTGGTGGAGTGGATCCTCGTGTACTCCTGTCAGATCCCTGATCTGCTTCATTACCTAGACGACTTCATCACTAAGGGCCCCCCTGAGTTGTCTCAATGTGCACACAATTTACGCACCGCTCTAGCAGTCTGCAAGTGTTTGGGCCTGCCTCTTCACCCAGGCAAGTGTGTGGGCCCCTCGACTGTGCTCGTAGTCCTCGATATTGAGCTGGACTCTGTTAATCAAGAGGCTCGTCTCCCTGCCCAGAAATTGTCTGCCTTGAAAGAGCTTATTTCTTCGTGGCTTCCACGAAAGTGGTGCAATAGGCAGGATCTAGAATCTCTCATTGGACATCTGCACCATGCTGCTATTAAAGGTGGTTTGGCCTGGGAGAACCTTTTTGCACCGCATGATTGACTTTCTGTCCCGTTTCCAAAGAAGAGATCACCTAGTTCGGCTTAACAGAGAATTTCGTTTGGACCTCCGGTGGTGGCACCACTTTCTCTCTGACTGGCATGGCGTAAGTTTTTGTCTTTTCCCAGGTCTGGTCCCAGAGGCGGGGGTCGAAGTGTCGTCCGATGCAGCTGGTTCGATTGGTTTTGGGGCCTATTTGAAGGGCTACTGGTTTGCGGGTTCGTGGGCTCCTTCTCAGCAGCAGCAGTCTATTGCTTATAAGGAGCTCTTCCCAGTTGTCATTGCTGCTCATGTATGGGGCCACATGTGGTGCAAGAGGCATGTTCTGTTCCGCTCCGACAATGAAGCGGTAGTCCATATTCTAAACACCCGGACCTCGAAAGTACCTAGTTTGATGCAGTTATTGCGTAGCCTGCTTCTTTCTGCTGCTCGTCATAGTTTCTCCTTTTCTGCTCGACATGTGCCTGGGGTTAACAATCAGATAGCTGATGCTCTGTCTCGTTTTCGTTGGCAGGACTTAAGGCAGTTGGTTCCGGATGCACAGCCTCATCCTACGTGGATCCCCCCGGAACTTCTGGCAGCTTTGACCTCTTCACCTTAGAGCGGCAATGCTATTCCTTCTTGACCCAAGGCCTGGCCCAATCTACCCTTGTTCGTATGCTTCTTCCCAAGCACAGTTTATTTCCTTCTGTCGTCAGCTGGGGAAGTTACATCCCTCAGGGTTACCCTGCCCGGCCGATGAATGGACGCTTTGCCTTTTTGTCACCTTCCTTGCTAGGACCATCATTAAGCATTCTTCTATCAAGGTATATTTATCTGGGGTTAGAGCTCTCCACATCGACCATGGGTTCCCTGATCCGCTTATTAATTGTCTTCAGCGGGTGGTACGTGGTATCAAGCGCTGTCAAGGTTCTTCTTCGTCTAGCCGACTTCCTATTACCGATGATCTGATGCTGGTTATTTAGCAGTCTTTTGGGCAGCTTGTTCCCTTGGATATTTTGGCTTTCTTTGTGCGTCGGAGTTTACCGTTCCCAATTTGCCTAGCTTCTCGTCGTCACTCCACCAGGGTGTCAAGGATATTTCAGTGGATTCGCCCTCAGCTCCATCCTGCATGCGCATCAGGATCAAGGCCTCGAAGACTGATCCATTTAGGAAGGGCTGATTCATTCACATTGGCGTTGGCAGGCGTCCACTCTGTGCAGTTCGTGCTGTAATGAATTACCTCGCGCTTAGGGGAGATGTCCCTGGCCCCTTGTTTTTGTTGCAAAATGGACAGCCTCTCTCGCGCAACATCTTGACGGATTGGCTTCGACAGATTATGGCCTCAGCTCGGGTGCCGGAAACTTCTCCAGCCATAGCTTTCGCATAGGGGCCGCTACTGTCGCTGCTCGCAATGGAGTACCTGACCATTTAATTCAATCAATGGGCCGCTGGTCCAGCAATGCTTATCAGCTTTACATAAGGACGCCAGCTGAAGCTTTAGCTGCCCTCTCCATCAAGTTGGCCTGATGGGAGTTCTTGCAACGCCTGCTTCGCACTGGTCTCTGGTTCCTATAGCATCTTGTTCCTGGGTCTTGGACAGGCGTATTTCCGGTCGTCGCTTCTTTCCACTTGGCCTTGTAAGCCTATGTAGGTATGTTGTAGTTTTACCATGGTTTTCGGTTACTGGTGCTTGGGGGCAGGTTGGGGATCGGAGGTACCATGTCACCCCTGTTCGCGGTTCCTCCTTTCTCCAAGCACCACGAGAAGGGTTTTGATTCGGTGGTTCCCGCATTCCAGGGTTGCCATGGATACCTCCCCTGCAGCTTGGCATCTGGCACCCCGCTAACCTTTTAGGCACCAGTTCCCAAGCTCATCTATTTGTGATGAGTTTAAATGTGGCTAAATATCATTTAGGCAAAGTTAAAATGTGAGCAAATGCAGCCAGCGGTCTCCCTCATCTGCAGTACGTGACCATTGGGGTGGCCTCTAGAGGTTTCACAGGGTTTCAAGGTTCATTGCTTTACACGTGCAGTGTTATCAGCTGATCTTTGCGGATCAAACGCTTTGCTATTGCGAATCATTGCGGATTCTTGCACCCTCTCCTCCCTCCCTCTTTTGCGTTGGGTCATCAGGGTAAGTATTTTCAGGTAAGTTATAACCACTGATTGTTTCAGTGTGACGGTGCCGGTTAGCGGGCGCTCTTTTGGGTGGTTCCTGCGTTCCAGGGTTGCCATGGACACCTCCCTTGCAGCTTGGCATCTGGCACCCCGCTAACCTTTTAGGCACCAGTTCCCAAGCTCATCTATTTGTGATGAGTTTAAAGTTCAAATCTCACTCACACAGTAATTCTGATACGTCAACGTCTTGACTCGAGGGTACGCACCCGTCCGCACGTGTCCGTTTTGGTTGAAAACGGATTTTTTCTCCAGTTTGGCCTGTATGTACCTTCCAAACGTATTCGTTGAAAACGGTCATCGAAAACGCTTCTTTTCAAAAACGCTCTCCCAGACCTTCCAGCCCCTAAACTATGCAAATGAATCTGGAAGGTTTGAAAAAAAGCCCTCAAAACCCTGAAGATTGGGACCTCAATCCTGGAGATTTCCAAAATATGTGTCAAATAAAACCAACAAAGGAGATTATTTTTGTCATGGTATACTGTCTTATTACTCTTTTGGCAATAAAAATATTTGGTGGCTAAGTCGTGAGACCGTGAGTTGACTGCCCAAACCGTGAGAGTTGGAGGGTCTACGCTCCAGAATGGAGAGTTTTTAAAACGCCGGCTTTTCGTTTACATGTGGACGAACGAAAACGGATGTTTTCGAATACGATGATGAGGGCGGGGGCCAGCGGGGGGAGGTGTCTCATCACGAGTTCACGAACAACAATTTTACGTTTCCCGAGTCACGAAACAACTCTCATAGCGACCACTTCTCATAAGCGACCACCTCCCGTAAGCGACCACTTTTCACATAACCGTTTTGTTTGTTTCAAACACTGTTTCAAAAACTCTCTCGTAAGCGACCACTACGTAAATTTCTTGAACGACCGCGACCACTTTTTGGGCCAGAAATTTGACATATTCTTTTGTTTTCTGTTTCCGGTAAGCGACCACCGGGCATGATCACGTATGATTGTAACAAAACCGTTGCTCGAATGTCACAAAACTTCATTTTTGAATAGTGCTGACCACGTTAGCTGACATATTAAAGCAGTTGACTTGCAAAAAAGATGTCTGTAATACGATCTGTAGGTAAAAAAGTGGATTGTCACATCCATGCATTATCATGTTACGTACAAAGTTTCATCAGTTCCAAGCGCTATTCGAGCTAAACATTATCAGCAGTTCTCTGTTTGTCTCATTTTTGCTAGTAAGATTATAACTTTGTGTAATTACGTTAATCAGTTTAGTTTGAGTTTTTTTCTTGATTTTTCTCATAGACGACCACCTCCCTTAAGCGACCACTTTGTCGTGCACCAAGGGTGGTCGCTTACGAGAAAGTTGACTGAATTTACGTTCTCACGCTTGTCAAAAATAGAGGTCGTACAAAATGTCAAAAACGTTACGTTAGTTCCATTTTGTAAAACAGAGTGCATCGATTATAAACGCTGCGCGGCTATAAATTCCCCAGGGAAGCCAGCTGTAGGTTGGTCTGAGCGTATTGAAGTGGGAAGTGACATCAAAAGACTCAAACGTGAAGTTAAATCAAGCCACCAGATGATAGTTAAGGTCGTTTGGCCAAATTAACGATTTATTTTCTTCGATTGATCTTCAATGTACGTGTAAATAACCGAGGATTTTGGCAGTTCAGGTTTCACGGAGTGCACTTCAACAATCACGATTAAGAGAACAGTTTTTCAGTACATCACGATTCTAGGACACCAAAAATAGTCGATTACGGCATCGCAAAAATAAGCTTGCCCCCGGTCCCCTCGATGATGTCATACATCAAAACGACTTCATTCAACTACATGTACACCATTAAAAATACATCATAGCATGACGCATGCTAAATTAAGGGATGCTATGGTATTTCCATCGTTTTAGCGTTTTCGTGTGGAGAGGCAAAAACGATTCGAATATGCTGCGCAGTGGCGGATCCAGGAGAGGCCCCTTATTTTCAGACCAAACTGAGGCCAGAAGGGCCGAAAAAAATTTCTGTAACCCCCTTACTAGTAAGGTGAATTTTTTTGCCGACCTATCAATTATAGAGATGGGTTTTGTATAAATAACAATATTTTAAAGAACACTGACAATATCATCCGCAAGAAATGGACTTAGAATTGTTAAACAGTCCGGAATATCCCTAAATTTAAGGACAGGGCCAACTGGTCACGCGACACTTTTCAACCAATGAGAGGGCGCGCTTGTGTTTATCAACAAACAAATCAAAACATCGCCCCAGTGATCAAAAATTTTCAAAACAACGGACCTTGGAGGGACTTGTACATGGAGGGGATTATTTTCGGAATTTTACGGTAATTCATAAAGCGGGCGCGTGAAATTAGGAAGTTTCATGTAGCACTCTCATGCAACGACGGCTAGGAAATGTACAAAAAAGCGTGATGCACGTGCACAGTTGTTGTTTTGCCAATCCTATTGCTTTTTTCTGTTTTCGTTGCCATCGCCGTCGTTGTTGCCTAAGCTCCCTATTGTTGTCATCAAGAAATTTTGTTACCATGGTAACATGACGTCACACTTCTCCTCTCTATTGTGAGTAGAGCAAATAAAATCACACAGTGTTACTCTTCTGGAGATTATGAGGTTATCAGAGAGTATTAACAGTTACTAATGTTACTACATGGTTCTCAAATGCCTTAAATAACCAGGGTATATAGAATTTGTCTATTTCTAGGGGTAACATACATGTACTGCAAATGTATGTATCCCCCTCAAACCTACATACTGGTGTTGAAGTTAGAGAGCTTTAGATTTGAACGTCGGACAACTACGAGGACAATATAATCGTCCTTTCTCGCCTATTCTCTAAAAATAGACACCCTGAAAAGCTTCAACATAGTTTTTTTCACCACAAAAGTAGGCTTATTTCCATTTCGAGGGAGGTATTTAAAATAAAGCCCTCTCCAGATCGCCAAATTGATAAAATTCCTAACATTTGATAACTTGTTTTTACCACTACAACATTCTCTCAAAAAATCGTAGTTGAATTAATGATGATGGCTAATTGGCTATCACATTTTCCCACCAAAATGACATTGGTTTGCATGCGCGCACTACTTATTATTCAGAAAATCCCGTTCTTGTATTAGTTGTCCTCATCTTTGAATCTAAAGCTCTCTAAATTATATACATAACAAGCAAGCGGGAGTACTTACGTATATCAACGTAGTTACGCTGCATACAGATGTGTCTGCAGGAAACTATAGGGGTTGTCACATTCACCTTGAAGTATAAACACATATCGCCATTTTTAATTCCCATAGTCCTACACTTCTCCGTGCTGTTGCAAATGACACAACTAAAATGCTTGATATGCGTGCTATTCTGTTTTTCTACTCGGTGGCAGCTGACAACTGGGCTTAGCTTTCTTGTAACGTTGGAACATTCAGTGTCAGATACCCACGGGCAAGTTTTACCATACAGCAAGTCATATTGTACAGTTCCTTGAAAGGGTATAGCGAACAATGAAACATTAACAAGTCCAGGTGGCAAACCAAAAGCAAACACTGAAGGTTTTTGAGGCTGTGGTAAAGTAAAGTTTCCTGAAAGGTAAAAAAAATAAATTTATAAACATATAAAAATAGTACATATGTCAATATAATTTATTCTTAGCTAGATGCATAATTAATAATGATGGGCATACATGTATCTAAGGCCTGTTGAAGGGGCTAGAAATCAGCTCATACCAAATAAATTTTGAATTGTTGAATTTGTTTACTTTGTTCAAGAAACAAAAAACATTAAGCTACAGCAGTGCTCAGATCAAAATTTATAAATTTACTGGTTTTAAATTTCAGCTTTTGTGCGTATGCACAAAAACTTAACAAAAATCAGAATGCAAAATCTTTCTTGAACAGGATAAAAAGCATGTGATTGTGTTTTCAGAATGCAAGGAATAAAATTTTTGAATGCATACACCTGACGTAATCATAAAACAAATAACCTACATGTAAGACATTACCCATCACCCCTCCCTGCAAATGTGTAAATTAACCCACCAAATTTCAAACTTTCCCTCCTGGATCCAGTCCCTAGTGTAGTCAACTACAGGCAAAACTATCTTCATTTATTATTTTCTTCAAAGAGGGCTACTGAAAAACATTTTCAGGGATACATGTACTTTCCATCCATGAAAAAGATATTATTTGCTCCTTTTCATTTGGCCACTATGGGAATACTTCAACTGGAAATACTGCTGGATCATCTGACTAATTTCGGATCCACTGTGAATGGAACAGCGTAGATCACTAAAATCTGTTAATCTGGATTTGGATTCTTCGGATTTCAAATCCAATGAATCCTTGGATTCACCAGATCAAAAATACGGATTTGGATTTGCCGAAAGGAACGTGAAATCCGTTCTTAGGTCTAAAATCCGCACACAAGTTCAAGGCTTGACTTGAGAAAAATTTTTGGATCACCGAAAGGAACACACCCTAATTAGTTTTCAGTGCGTCACGTTCTTTGAATAGTGATTCCATAAGGAAATCACATGCTGGGGCCCTGGATTCGTCTATTCACCGCACTTTTTCACAAACATGCGAATTCTGAAGTTCAGAAGGCAACCGACGATTGCATGTTTTTCGCTGCTGTCAATCATCTTATCTTAACGGATCTCTATAGCAAACAAAACTTTACTTCACGGGTTCAAAAGGTCGTGGTTTGTGATTTGTGGATTTTCGATCCGTTTTGTGTTTCTCTGTTTCACGGTTCGTCGCTTGTGTTTCCTCATTATGATTGACGGCATTTAAAAAACACCTTTTTGAAGTTTAGAGTTTGCAGGTTCAGAGCACAGGGCTCCTTTCTATTCTTAAAGCACAGCCTTGCTTCAAGTACAGTGCATCTCTAGTCCAAATCCTCAGGGAACAATGCTACTTGTAAGGTTTCATTTCAACTCATAACGTTTTTCTTTTTCCTCGCCCTAACCCTTTACCTCACCCATCCCACCCCGATCCCCGCAGCTTCACGATCTGTTTACTGTAAACTTCGATACTCGTTCAATATATCAGGGAATATATACCTTTGGTTGTTTTAAATACAGGCCGAGGAAATCAAAATATGAGCCTTCAGATGAAATGAAAGCTTTTAACATTCATACAACCGGGCGATTGCAAAGTTTGCGAATGTTTATACGCTCAAATAGAGAAAGCGAAACCAGCTGAGTGTATTAAGATGTTAACCTTAAGTTAAAAAGCTTACACTTACATAGAGCACTTACATATATCCGACATGCAATGGCAAGTACAATGTATAACGAAATGGGCGCGAAAATGCCCTCAGACATCGCATGATCTTGACCCTTTGGCTGAAAGTGATATTATATAGTGTGGGATTTCACAGATTCATCTGATCACGTTCGGCTTGACTTGACTGACAAGAGCATGATGTTGATGTCATGATCGATGAAATATCGCAGGTATCTGTGTATCTAACAAATATTGATGTATCTGTGCAATACATACCTGAAATAAGATTAATGGAAACCAACAAAACAAGTAGATTCAGCGACTTTAAGCACGATTTTTGAGCTGCAAAACTCATCCAAAACATTTTTCTAGTTGAAAAGCTTCCGCGAAAACCGGAAGTCCTTCCCAGAAATTCTTTCGTTCTGATTGGTTCTTCCTTTGCAAACATGGCGTCGTTCTAGTAAGCAACACATGATGAAAGTGTCTCTGGGTTTAGCTATTGTGGGCAAATTATGCTAATGAATTTTTTAGCAGGTATCTTTTTGTTGTTAATTGTTCAAGCGTTTGACTATGTAAGCAGTCAAGAGACAAAGCCAAAGAAGGGAGGTAAGGAAGTTTTGCTTATGAAGTGAACTTTAGCTCCTCACATGCACGAGGAACTTGAAGAGGAAGCGAGCAGATTTCATTCTTAATCTTGCGACATCTCTATTTTTTCCTTTAAATTTTTATCTTATTGCTGCCTAATTGATCTTCTAATACATAAGTTTATAGAATTCTGCGAAAAGATTGCTTTACATGTAATTTATGGAAGACAAGCCTTGACTATAAAGAACAAAAAGCTTCCAGTTTTGATTTGGCTGTTGCTTGGTTGACATCGATCAAGTTAAGTTGTTGAAGCTCTCATCACATTTCCTCGTATTGTGCGCAACGACAGAGGCAAACTTTATTTTAACTATACGCCGTGCACATCGTTATTATTGAACTGTAATGTGCCGTTGATCGCAAATTAGTCTTGAACTTGACCGCCCGTTTATTAAACGAGACAACAAATAAACTTTAAACCACTTGTACCCCCTCATGCTTGCGAACATTTTATTTATTAAAAATGTTGTATGTTTCTCTTCACTACTAATCTTCGGTGTGATTGGCTATCAATAGTTATTATACGGCCAAGTTCTCCAGTGCGCGTTCAGGCTACAGTATTATACATCATGTGAAGATTGACTTTGCAGGTTCATGAATGTGGAATGCTCTTTCGGGTGGTGGTTTATACAGCCCTGTAGCCATTTTATCCCCTTTTCTACGAGCTTGCCCTGCAAGTTTGGTTGAGTTGGAACCCTCCCTGGTTCTAATATACATTGTCCTCTCCATCCATCATCTCATTGTCTAAAAGCATTAACAGTAAATTTTAGAAATGAGCACAACCTAGAGATTAGTTAGTTATCTGACTAATCAGAAGGTCGCTTGGGCAAAATTCCTAGAGGAATGTCAAACCGTGATTGGTACAACAATGAGTTTGTCATTATTTTTTTCAAACAATTTTTTAATAAACAATAATTATTAGATTTGGTTTTTGGCATCTCTGGAACAGTCAAGATCTAGGCAACTGTTCCAAGCTGAGGCTGAACTTAGCTCTGTTAACCTTGAATTTATTCCAGAGATCACCAAAACAGAATGTAATTATTTAATACAGTTGAACTTCCATGTGTGACCACCTCTTGTAAGCGACTGCCAATCCAAAGCACCAAAATTTTCCTAGTCAAAGCCTCACAGTTGGAACCTTTAGTAAACAACCACCTCCTGTAAGCAACCACGACCACTTTTTGGGCCTGACGGTTAATGATTTTCCATTGTTTTTAACCTCTTGTAAGCGACCACTTGACGCATTCTCTGATCAGTTTGTTTGCTGTGAGTTATGCTACTTAGAATACCGTAAAATTCCGAAAATATGCCCTGGGGCTTATATTTTTCAAAGGCCCTCTTTGAGGGGCTTAGTTTTGGAGGGGCTTATCTATGGAGGGAAATTTGCGTCTCAAAATCGATTGGGCTAGCCTTACAGGTGCTGTATCAGAGGCAGCTGCAATAACATCGCACTTTCAACAAAATTCAAGACTATGCTCACTTGGCCGACCATTTAACCCTTTATGAATAACATCCTATTTGCAACTTATATCTACGCTTATTCAGTTGCTAAATTTTTCTTAACTTCTATTTCAGCTTCATTCACACTTGAACTAAAATCGCCGCAAAATGTGCATATTGGTGTTAATGAAAAGCTTGAGTTGAACTGTACCAGTAACAGACCTATCCGTGATCTACGTCCTGCAAAGTTGTTATGGCAACATAATAAAGTGTGGATACCTAATAATACTTATGTTGTTGATGATTACACTGTTCAGCTGAAGATAACCAAAACTAGTTATGGGGATGCTGGATGCTATAGCTGTGGATTATTTAACATCTCATCAAATTCACATAGCACTAATTCAGGTTACTCACAAAATGTGACTGTCATTGTGGGAGGTATGTTATTCCTAGTATAATGGTGCAAACTGGGTAGCCTAACTATTGCTTGCCAACAGCCTTTACATCTTATTGTTTAGCAGTTATTGTGACACTGCCATGTAACATTAATTGGCATCTCTAAAGTAACATAACCTTATTTTAACTATAACAAAATGGGCAATTTCAGAAAAATCCATACCATACACAGCTTTTCAGGATTCCAAGGACAGGGTGGCGGTGGGGGGGGGGGTGGGGGGGGTGGCGTCTTCGAACTGGGAATCTGAAGGCATGGGGAAAACTTATGTCTGGAATTCTGAATGCATGGGGGAGGGGGGGCGGGGTTAGATCTGGAATTTCCACAGGGACAGACAAGAGTGTATTCCTTGAAAATGCTTTTTTCATGGACTTAAAAAATAAAGCATAAACTGACGACACTGCTGACAACTGCAGAAGCCAGATGCAAGACAAGCATTTATCGATCAGTGACATTGTGTTGTTTATTAGTGGAAGAAAGGTGACAGGACATGGGTTATACATCGAGCTCCAGGGGCGTTAATGCTGAAAAACATTTTTCTCTTGTCATAACAGCTTCCTAAATATTTTGTAATTCAATGCAAAACATGGCCTTTTGACTGGGGATGCCGTTTTAGTTTTTGAAGCTCATGGGATTAGGAGAAACTGCTGACTTGGACGCCTTAAGTTCAAGATGACAGAAATATAAGGACACTCAATATCTTCCGTGTGACGCACATTCATCACAAGATAATTATTCTTTTTTTAATGTTTGGTACGAGTTTTAGGGCAATGTAAAGTTAGTGTAAGTTTTACCAGTTGAACAGCGGTAAGGATAAAACTTCTCTGTTTTTTTTTATTATTATTTTCTTCGTAGAATTTGCCAGAGTCATAATGATTGCCTCTGCTGATTTGAAGTACAGAATAAAAAGGTTAATTTTGAAATATTTTTGCTGTAGCCAAACTGGGCGTATTCAAGAACCCTGTCAGTAATTCAGAATGGTTTGACTTAAAAATGGCAAATCTGAACAGGAGGGGGGTAAATGATTATGGAATTCCAAGGTCATGGGGGAAAAATGTATTTATGAAATTCTGAGGGCAAGTGGAAGTTAAAATATTGAAGCCATCCGTGGTATGGTATGGATCTTTTCTGGAATTGCCAAATTCTCGAATCTGATTTTGCCATTATTAGCAGTCCTGATTTCAGCATTAACAGCGGGGACGGTGTGAATAGGACAGTATTCATCATGCCTAAGTACAGTAGTAATTGCACAATATCTGCCATCGTTTAGAAAACTCTCAGAATATGTTTTTTTTATTATTTTGAAAAAGCTGAAATTATTACAAATTTTGTTATATATAGCTATGATTAATAGATAACAGAACTTCATGTTGTCCTATTTGCTCGGTAAATCATACTTGTCATAAATCAAATTGGACCCCTGGTATAAGGTCATCCATTTTTGTTGATGATGTATATGACAAACTTTAAATTATGTGAAACTATAAAATTTATTGATTCATGGATAGACTTTGTAGCGCACCCAAGTACACGCTCCCACAGTGTCTTGTTTATTTAACAATAACTACTTCATTATTAATATTATTGCACTGATCTTCACCAGCCAATGATGGTGTGAACTGATGAGTGCAGAGTACATTTTGCATGTCTCTCACGACAGGTGGGTTTTGGTAATATTGTTAATTGCCCTCATATTCTTAATCTTTAATATTTGCAGAGAAGCCTAACAAACCAAATTTGACTCTTGTGAGTGTTTTTGGAAGTCCAGTCCAGGAGTTGACTCTACAGTGGTCAGCAAAAGGCAGTGCTTCTTATGAACTGCTACTTGGTCGAGTCAAAAATGGCTCTGTCCCTTGTTCCTTTGACAACATGACGGCCATTTCCATTAAGAACTTTCGGGGAAGCAAACGTGATGGATTCCTGTCCTACCATGTTACAAGAGAGGACCTTGGAAAACTTTTTACTTGGGACGAGTTATACAGCAAGACATTAGGAAATTGTGTTCTTCTTTTGGGGACAATTAAAATGGGATCAAGGTGTGATCGATTCTGTGCATATGTTGTAGCAAAGAATGGCTTTGGAACAATTCAATCACAGTTACAAATATGGAATTTAGTTGATCACGGTAAGACTCAGAAATAAGGGATTCCAACATGCATTGGCCAATTATGATAATTATTGTGAAAAACCTTCACATTTTACAACTACATGTACAGTCGACTCCCGATAACTCGAACCTTCAAGGGAAATCGAAAAAGGTTCGAGTTATCGGGAGTTTGAGTTATCAGGAGTTCAAAAAGAATAGCCGAGAGTAAGGTAAAAGACAGTTCTTACTGCACATCGAACATTTTAATCACATTTAATTGTAGAAATGTCAAGTGAAAATTAAAAGATACTTCTAGATTATAAATCAGAACGTAACGTAACAAAACATAGCCAAAATAGAGCATGCGTTTTACTGATTTGAGAAGAAAAGTTGCCTCATGTTAGCCTGTGACAATCAACATCAGCCTCCACTAGTAAACTATACTCCTACAACACGTCAATAGGAAATCCAAAATTCAATGTTTCGGGCGCCCGTAGACGGCTTTTTTCCCAACTTTTTAAGGGCTCAAAACATGGTTCAAGTTATCGAGGGTAAGATTATATAGAAAATGACCTGAGGGGAAACGAAAATTGGTGCGAGTTAGCGGGAGTTCGAGTTATCGAGGGTTCGAGTTTCCAAGGGTAAAATTACAGTGAATGTATGACGGAAATCCAGGGGAAATCGATTTTGGTTCGAGTTAGCAAGGGTTCGAGTTATCGGGAGTCGACTGTAGTGTGTAATTTATTTTTTATGACAGTTTTTTTTTCACAATTTATGAATATTGTAGTCATTTTACGCCAGTGGATAGATACACATGGTATAATTTACTCATTTAAATCTAAAAGTGTACCAGTGACAGTACATCAACTTGGTTTGAAATGTGTAACAGCTAGTTGATATTGGCAGCCAACGATTGACAACTAAAATACCGTAAAATGATAGTTTTCAGAGAATTAAAGCTATTAGGTATGATATTTGGTAATAATATAATTTATAATATTCATCTGGGACATGATGGCACAACTTCTTTAAGATGGAAGATGTAGGCAGCATAGCTTGCAGGGGCGGATCCAGGATTTTTCTTGGGAGGGGGTGCACTAGTCTCTTGCTCTACTTCAACACCAATAAACCACATAAGTACCAGTTGTGAGACCTCCTGCCCCTAGACCTTGAGCTTTTCAATTGCCCCCTAACCTTATTTTACTGTGTTACCCCTACAAAGTATTTTTTACGCTGTAAGATTTTCTGTCCCTAATGTTTTTGTTTGGGGCAAAAGAGAACAATGAATGGTTTTGTTCCACTTATAAATAAAGTACCTCTTACCAATATGCCTCACTTGCCCCTAATAGAGGCTGATTGTTGTCCATTTCACTTTGCAAGTAAAATTTTAGATCACGAGTTAATGAATCAGTTTGTTTTCTTTTTTTGTAGCAAGGTGTCCCTCCCCAGCCAATCTGAGTGTGGTCGTCAATGAAGACAACAGTATGAAGTTGAGATGGCAGCATCCTTCTCTAGTTTCAGGACCAGTATACTACAAAATTGTTGACGTTACCGTAACATCGGTTCTAACTGGAAAGGTAAGCAATCATTAATTTGTAGTTTGAATCGTTTCTCTAAACTAGTTGTGATTTCAAGGTTTTGTCCTGTCAAAATCAAGTTTAATTTAGCTTGTAAACCAAGGACCCCAACCAAACACCTTTTTTGCTTTCTGCCGGCCTGAGAAAATTAATATTCAAGTCTTTTACTCACAGGAAAAAATAACCAATTCCCATTTTTGGATATTTTAGGGTATTTAAAGAATACCCAGAAAAATCCCAAATTTGGAAGAGTGAGGCAAGTCCCAATCAGGGAACTTGGTTGGGAATTCCCTGGTTGGAACTTGTCTCACTTTGCCAAATTTGGGATTAATATGGGTATTCTTTAAATACCCGAAAATATCCAAAAATGGGAATCCGTTATTTTTTCCTGTGACTTATTCTACAACTTCATCATTATGCCACCCCAGCAGCACTGCAGGGCTGTCACTGAGATCATAAGGCGGGTAAATATAAATCTAGAAAGTTCTTTTGGCTCAGTTTTTCTTTTTTTATGAAATAGCTAGGGAAATCCCGGCCCTCTGTCCTTAGTGGTAGCCCTGGTGCTACCAGCAATTATCTTAGGAAACTCCAGTCATCAGTTTTTATTGTACATCATTAATGCAACCTTTCAAATACCTGGTGAGACCAACAGCAAGTTCGATGCATCTTAAAAACATGCAGTATGCTTTTTGTTAAAAATCATTTGAAGTGTGTATGACAAAAGTCATATGTGTGAAATCTGCAGACAGATTAAAATACTTATAGACAAGGTCAAAATTCAAATTGTCATTACAAAGTTCAGAAAGGATTAGTGACCACAAGTAACAAATTCATTGATGGAAAATTTATTCCCCCTTTTGATTAGGAACTGGTCAATTCATGAAATGAATAAAATAATGCAATTCAAATTGGGTCTTGATTGGACAAAGAAATGTTTATTCTATTTCTCTGGCAGAGTGTTTTCTAGGAATTGGCCAGTGAGGACCACATTAGGCTCTCTTCTGAAATTGTAGAGGACCCTATTTCAAGACATCCAAGTGCCATTTGTCACACTTACATTAATTTTTTATTATTTTTTTGTGTGTGTGGCAATATTATTTGGAGGGAATCCCACACTCTAGAATAACCCCTGCTCAGGTACAGTGTATAACTAGCTTTGAATTCATAGTTTGCCATGATGTGGACCTTGCTGCCTCTTAGTGGTGTAACAATTAATCGAATTCTTGATTAATCGTGATTATGACCGTTCGGTTCAATTCACGATTCTTTGCTTGAACCACGTTTCAATTTTGCTTCGATTTTTGCATACCTTTTCCAGGGTGCCCTCAGTGAGTTATTATATTGTAAGATCAGAATCCAGAACTCTTTAAAATGTGCGTTTTTTATTGACGAGCAAAGGCGATAGCAGTTCATGCGCCATTTTGTGTTGCCTGGTAAAAATGCTGTCCTTCAACCACCTCTCGAAAATTTCCAAATAAGGCAAACCATCTTTGTCAGGTTCTCAAACATGGCGACAAACCAAGCAACTGTGAATCCTCCTATCCCTGTTACTATTCTCAAATTGAGGGTTTAGGGTTGCATGTTGTTAACATTACATGTTATGTTGTAAGAATTAAGAAACATTTACATAATCAAATTGAAATAATTGAAATTGAAAGACAATAATCAAAATCAAATTGAATTGCAAGGAATATGAATCGTTACACCCCTACTGCCACTGTACAGAGGAAGCACCATTTCGTATCGTGTGGTTCCAGAAAATATCCATACCACCCCCACGGAAAGGATCGGATTTTCCAAGGGGGAGGGGGGGGGGTCAATTTGCCTAATTTCCCGTGGGGAGGGGGTGCACCACAGGGAAATATTTCCAGAGGGTTCTCGCAATGCGTAAGAGGGTAACAAAGAAAAAACAAAAATTTACCACGACTATTTATTTGCGGAGATATAAAACACAACGAAAGTTAAAGAGCTACTAAACATAAGGATTAATGAACATAGCGAAAAGTGACCTCTCATGCGAAAACTTCCTTATGGTTTGCCGTTTTTGAACGGATGGCCGTTCAAACAGATTTGGTATTCGTTTGAACAGCTCAGGCTATCTGTTCGAAAAAAAAAAAAATTGTCATCTGTTCGAATGGCTTGGGCTATCTGTTCGAAAAAAGTGTCATTTGTTTGAATGGTTTGTGCTATTCGTTAGAACAGCTTGGGCTATCCGTTTGAAAAAAATTGTCATCCATTTGAATAAAATTGTCATCTGTTCGAACTGCTATGTCAACCTGTTCAAAAAAGAAATTGTCGACTGTTCGAGCAACTGAAGCTATCTGTTAGAAGATAAATTTTAGCTCAGTTTCCATCCAAAAACAATTTTGTCGCCAGCCATTCGTGTAGAACGATCTGTTATTCTTGAGTGGTCACGTTACGAAGTTTGTTTACAAACTCATCATGAATACTGTCACGGATCTCTCTGCTCCTTTGTAGCCATCTTCGCTTTCATATTATCATTTGATGATCGACAGTATCGACATACGCTTTATTCAATACTTAGGAATTTTTTTCAACAAGTTTCCCGAAAATAATATGCCTTTGTAGTTTATGAGCCAGCACGATGAAACTTTCATATTCCTTGCATGTCGAGAACGCAAACATGAAAAAAAATCCTTTTAATTGGATATATGCCTTCTTCAAAAAAAATGAAAGTGAAGAATGATCATCACAGTAAATTTTCCAATTTAAGCAACTGGAAAGAAGAAGCCTGAAAAAAATCAGGACTTAAACGGGATTCGAACCCGTGACCTCCGCGTTGCCGGTGCATTGCTCTACCAACTGAGCTATGAAGCCACACATTGGGAACGAGGTCAATGTAGTCCTGATTTTTTTTTCAGGCTTCTTCTTTCCAATTGCTGAAATTGGAAAATTTACTGCGATGATCATTCTTCACTTTCATCTACAACCGCAGTTCAAGAATGAATTATTTCATATACTTCACAAACCTTCTTCACTTGACTGTTTCTCTGTCACAGAGAAGTTACAAAAACTCTTTTCCAGCACGGTGCAGTTTGCGTGACAGTTTTCTTGCAATTCCCATCATGTTTTTGTACGTACATCTTAAAAACAGGTCCTTCTTATCCTTATAGACTGTTCCAGCTCCTGCCTTTCCCTACTTTGCAATTGAGGCTGCAAGTCATACCATTGAAGGTCCAGATATTGAGCCTTATGCCACTTATAGATTCGAGGTATGCTGCTGCTTTAGTCCTGTTTGTCGGAGAAGTGCAGGACCATCTGCTTATACAGAAGTAGTATCCCCTGAAAAAGGTAAGTTTATAGTCATAAAAATTAATTTTTGCCCTTTCGGCAAATGAAGTTTCATTAACCAACGAATATTGTCAGTAGACTTAATGTATTTAAAATGTTAGAATTATTGGCTGAAGCAGGGAATCATATAATTTTGTGGCATACTCATTACTGAAGGACTTTGGCATCGGTAGAAGGAAGGCTAATTTCTTTAAATGTGGTGTTTATCAAAGAAAGCATTTTTAAGTGTTAATGATGAAGATTCATTTTCCGTGGGTCAATGTTCATTTGTGCTTATAGAATATTAATAAAAATTTGATTTTGAGGTACAATGTATGCTTAAAATCAGGAACAAAGTTTTAGGCTACAGTAAAAAAATCGGTACTGTAGAAATGCACACATTTATTGTATTGTTCAGCATGCACTTGTAAACAAACATGCTGTGAGTACAGTGTACAGTACCTTTGTTTGGGGTGCATGGAGAAGATAAAGGAAATGAACGCAATGACATCAAGAAATGCTTCCCAATTGTTTGCAATAGTTTCACTTAATAGTGTACCACAATGTTGAAATGATGAGCATATATTGTAGAATGCAACCTGAGCTTTTAGTTCAGCATTACCCCTGTTGTTAATGCCTCGGAGAACAATCATATCATACAGATGCATTCTGTACATATGTTTGTAATATGCATCATGTTTTCTTGTCACTGGCAAGACTGAAATTCCTGCACAGATCAATATGGTAATAGATACTTCCTTGGTTCTTTTCAAATTCTGATAAAGTCCAGTAAGTAAACATACCAAGTTTAAAGGCGTTAAGGGGCCGACCACTTAACTCTTGAGGGAGGGGGTGGGTAATTTTGAAAAAACATTTCCTGCAAGCGCTTGTCGGAAGAAAAAAATTGCATGCAGCACAAATGTAATAGAAAGCTTATGGGAAAAAAAAGGGAAAAAAATACCCTGCCCACCAGATTGCCAAAAAAAAAAATTCTTGACCACCAGAAATCACCCACCCCTCCCCTCAAGAGTTAAATGGTCGGCCCCTAAGTCCAAAAAGAGCTAAATTGTACAGATGTTTGTGTGGTAGAGCTATATTCGCTGTACAGCTATTTCGAGAAAGGTTGTCGGATAAAGTGCACGCGACAACCCCGAAAGGTAATTTGGGTGGTTTTGAGTTCACTGCTTTTCAAAGAAATTTGAAGTTTGCGAGTGCTAAAGGAAAGCAACAAGTTAGTAGGCTCGACAGTTACAATTTCAGGAGTAGTGTATTGGGTATATCCCATATTACCTTACGGGATTTTCGCGTGCACATTTTTTCCGACAACCACTCTCGAAATAGCGGTATGTCTATATGTCTGTAGCAAACCACTCTTAAACTTGGCAACTGTACTTGTTTTAAGGCATTCTTTCCAGCAGGGTCGAAAGATTTTAGCAAACTGTTCGCAGTCAAAAGATGAAAAAAACGTGGGTCTATTTAATGCTTGTCAGTATCAACATAACTCTTGGACTGTTTAATCCTACTAGAAATCGTTGCAGCCCCATCCCCTCCTCGTTAGGTGTTAATTCCCTTGTTTTTCCTCTTATCGCCCTCCCATTCAACTCCCAAACCCTTCCTTTGGCTCTAAGGGCTGACACTGGTGGTATGGTACATTAAGTTTCAACTAGATACTTGAACTGCCAAAGTCGTTACTTAAGATATTGAATTTGTTTGGGTTTAGCACCATCTGGCAAACCAATATGTGAAGTGAGAAACAGGTCATCGGATGGTCAAGCCTATGTTATGGTGAAGGTGAGAAATCATTTTGCTCTTACTTTAAGTCTTGTGGCATCTAGATCCAGTCTGCATGGTTTGTTATTTTCTCGCCAGGGATCAGTGCTAGTTGTACAAGTGATATTTTTTACGAACCCATTCGCCTCAAGAAATTTAGGCAAAGAGTAAGGCTCAAGCTGTTGAGCCATTTTCTGGTCACCTTTTAATGTTCCTAGTCCATTAATTATATTGCTGTTTATCACCAGTAGCTAAATCTGGAAGAGGCAAACTAAATGTGACTTTCCTTTGTGCCACTTGTGGCCTGATGAAATAGTGTAATCTTTCTTAATGTTAGCCATCCATTACTGGTGCACAGTTGCTGGTTCCTTTAAAGATAACTAGAAAAACGTGTATCACAGAACCTTGTGAACTTGGTGATCATTATCGCGTAATGAAATGTTATTGGATTTTATTTTTCCAGATTCCACCAAAGGAAACGTGGAATGGGATACCCAAGAGAGTAGCTCTCCAGTATGGGAATCATCAGAAGATCATCAATGTATCCCATGAGGAATTAGTACACCTCAACAGATCATTAGAAATCGTAATACACGTAAATGATCTTGATGTACACTCCAATTACTCTGTTACTGCGGCCTTTTGCACTGTTGCTGGATGTGGAAATTACTCCAGCCCGTGCTTTATGTATGCGGGCAGCGAGGACCCCATTCTGAAAGGTTAGCCGAACTATAGATATAGAGAGTGAACCTATAGTCAACTCTCTGACAGTCCCTAAAATGTACAGCTATAGTTTCCTGCTGTTTATGAGTCATTTTTCTTGTTACTCTAGAGGCTTGATGCCTCTTTGACTGAGAGATGTAATGTTGGACACTCGGTGTTGACTGTATTCAGATATGAAACGAAGTGAATTGTACATGTTCTGGCTCAAAATAAATTAAAAACTGATAAATTCCAGCTTTTGATTTAACTTATAAATAACAATTATTCACCGAAGTGGAGGTGTTGTTTTAGTATATACTAAAACAGTGAGAAAATTGAGCACAAAAATAATGATTTTTAACTCATTTACCGATTACAATCTTGGCGCGCAATGACCGAACGGCCACGGTCGTCGCTTTTTCTTGCCGACAGTTAAGACTCGTGAACACTGTTTTGAAGGCATTTGTTTAGCTCTTGCGGGGAAATTTCTTCAAAAGGAGTTGTGAATTCTTTTTTCACTTTAAAATATTTGTGTAAAAAAGATTATTAAATTTAGTTTTAAGCTTGTTTATGACCAAGTCAACTAAACAAACTAACGCAAGACTTAAGAAGCTTAATTTGCATTTGTAAACAAAAAAATTTTTCATCTGTTTTATCGATAAATTCAAGTAAAAAAGGCAAAGCTTTATCTGGTAAAACTTCCAAACCGAACTTCGTCATCTTCGTTGTGTATTTCGGGAACAGCTTGCTTGATTAGTTGTGAAATTTCTTTGTTTGTTACGGCAGCAAACCGGGAAGACATTTTGCTCGAAACTTACGCGACTTTGGCGTCGCTTGCTCGGAGGAACTGGAGGTGAATCAGTGAATAGGTTTTTATTTTCTGAAGGAAAAAAGATGTTGCAGCTTGGAGCATTTCGTGGTATTCAGCTTATTCCTATATAAAATTTGTATACTAAATTAGTATTGCAGTTGGAGTGATAAGGCACCTATGTCTACAAAGAGTATCCTGAATGTTCACTTATTTTATTTGCCCAAGTGTACAGAATTTTTTTTTTTTTTTTTTTTTTTTACAAAAAAAAAAAAAAAACCTGTCTCAAATTTTACACGTCTGACAGGTTTTCGTATAGAGGTTCTAAAAACTAGGTTCTTAGTAACGGTTTTTTACCGTAGGGGTGCTTGTTAAGAGATAATTGGCCGTTTAACATGACACCTGCAAATTGCTTTCACAGCGGTTACCACTAACACGCTCCCTCGATGAGTTTTCTCCTGGTTTTTTCCCTGTGTTGAAACCCGAGTTTTCGTGGACGTCAATCAACTGTTTCTATGGTTTTCTGACGAACTCAGACAGAGACGGTTCTCTCATCGCGGTGAATGAAGGGCGAAGACTGACAAGGATAATTTCGATTGACGACCGCGTTTTTAATTTTTATTTCATTAACATGAAGGATTACATTGTTAAAACAAAGAGTTCTTTGCGAGCTGAGTGAAATAGCCGAAACACTGTCAATAGTCAACGTCAAGGTTTTCGAGTTGTTTATTTTTTTTGATTGTATGAAAACAAGGGAGTCGTGGACGAATTGCCAAGGAGCATAAATTCAAAGAAACGAAATATATACACTGACAAGGGAAAAGAGTTTCCTCTGAATGGAGGTTGTTTTCGAAAATGAATTTTGTAACGTGCAGATCTACTTAGCATTCAGGTTAGGGTGTCCAGTTCCTGTTTTTCCCTATGTTTTTTTAGCATATTCCTATTTTCTCTTATTTTTAAACTAAAACCTCCTATTTTTCCTATTTTTTAGCTGGTGAAGCCAAAATTTGTAACGAAGTTGAAAATGGCATTATAGTTGCATGTGTTTTAGAGTGAGATTTATCATGAAGCAAGTAGTATGTTGACTTTGATGTTCTAATATTAGCAAACATAATAGGTACATTTGTTCTTTCTATGACCTCTATTGCCCACTAGAGTTGATAGTTCTCGTGACTATTGGATAATAAATTGTGGAAAGCCCACTGAAACTGCATTTCAGTATCTGTACATGTTATATCTTGAAGTCTTATTCGCTTTTATGTTCATCTTTGAAACTGAAAGCAGGATCAAGTTGTCCTCTCACCCCACAGGTCAGATAATCCGATCAGCTTCTTGTTTAGAGAACCAATTACTAGCCGGATTCTGTATGCTACGTGAAAAGAACAGACTCAAATTTAGTTTATGGCACTAGTTCTCTTGGTGAGCTCTTGTTAATAGTGTACGTAAGCAACTGACAGAGGATCCAGTATTTTGGTTCAGTCATAGCTATGCAGAGTGTTGCGTTCTTCTTAGAACTTAGCCATGACATACTTACAATCTGGTATCAAAAGATCAGTGTCATTTTGCGTACACCACCGAAAGCCTGGTTCTGTACTTAAAACTATGCAGTATTTTGACTCGAACAAGCATGTGCTCAACCAGCTATTGATTGTAGATTAATGAAAGGAAAGCTTTCCTTAGGACTTTTTAGTCCTAGTTCGATATCTGTCAATGACAACGCAATCGTAAGAAATTTCACTCCTCGAACCTTTTCAAAGATTTGCCGCCAACTTGAAGGGAACTTGCATATGATTACCTCTGATTACAGAACTGCGCTCGACCTGTAGTCAAGCATATCATTCTGATTACAGCGTAAATGAGCCAATAAACTAAACGTTACTGATCATTTTCACTCCCTCTAAGCCGTGAAAGTTGATCTAAATCCTGTGAACGTGGAAGCTGAGGACGCGTAGCCTTTATTATAACCCTGATGGGGTGCAGGGAGGCTATTAGTACTATTGATTTTCCTATTTTTCTTCCATTTTTTAATGCAAAGTTTCCTATTTTTTCTATTTTCCCAATCCTGAGTTTCCTATTTTCCTATTTTTTTTTTGAGCAACCATGCCGCTGGACACCCTGATAGAATCCAGAAAACTATTAACTGACTCGCAAGTTAACTCAGATGAGTTACGAGCTAGTATTGAGAAAGCTTATGTGGTTGTAACTTACAGTGTGTAAATAAGTTGATAATTTGATTTTCCTCCGACAACAACTCAACAAATTCGTACTCCTCGTAATCGGGACATGAAGCGGCGTCAGATCCTATAGCAAAATGTTGTAAAAACGTCTTAAACGCTGATATCATCCTCCGAGAGTGCTCTAGAAACGGGGAAAAAATCTTCACTTGGCCATGGTAACGGTTGATTGACGTCCACCAAACCGTAGGTTCGAACCGAAGAAAAAACCCTTTGAGGGATCGTGTTAGTGGTAACCGCTGTACGTTATAGTCACTGGGGCAGCATTCCCAAGGGCCCTAGCCCCAGTTGTTCAAAAGCTGGATAGCACTACCCACCAGATAAATTACTGTAAAAAGTATTCACTATCCACTTTTTGAACAACTGGGGCCTGGTGTGTGTGCTAGTACTCTTGCATTAGTGTTCTGAAACAAGTTTAAGCAAACGGTGTAACATGGTCAGTTCCATTGAAACATTTCCAAACTTCTAATGCAGTCCCCAGTTGTTAAAAAGCTGAATAGCGCTATTCATCGGGTAAATCACTATCCAGTGGATAAGTATTAGGGAAACCAATTGCACTATCCACTGGATAGAGATTTATCTGTTGGATAGCGCTATCCACCTTTTGAACAACTGGGGCCAGAACAGTTGCACAAAGAGTGGACTTGCCGTCCATCCCTGTAACACTCGCTAAGGTTACACCCCTATACTCACTATTTTATGATGCACTGCGCAAACCACTCAACAGGAAAACCATCCCCGATTAAGTTTTGATTGTGGCAACTGAAAGATTCAACGTGTAAGAAGGACGTGATATAAAAGTACTCCATGAGAACAGTGTGTAATGGAGCCTTAAAGGTTAAAAGCGAGCGTCCACTACTATAATGCGGTGCTGTAAATTATTGCTTGATCTTTTTGAAATGCAGCAGTTGAAGGCATGAAGAAGAAACAGTTGAAAACATGGAAGGTCGTTTCTGTTGGAGTTGGAATCTTTGTTGGACTTGTTCTTGTCCTGTTATTCTTCTCCTTGTGTTGGTTAAAGCGACAAAGGTAATTATTGTTATAATTATTAAACTTTGCCACTGACTTTTGCATGTGATTAGCTGAGAAATATCACAGACTCATTTCACTGACCTTAGTGTGTTCACGCTTTCACTAACCGTTAGAGAAACTATATAAACTTGCTATTTTTTTTAGTAAGGAAGCAGACCAGGTACGCCAGGGTGGAGTGTAAGAGGGAATTAGACATGTTAGGAAACGTTCCGTGAACACGTTCGTATCAATAGAATATGTTAGAATGGCCCTATGGTTAGTATTTATATGCTGTTATTGTAATCATATTTTAATTTTTGAATTACGAACCCACTGCAGATTGAGACATGCTAGCCTATCAACGTCTCTGATGGTTGGCTTTCGCATCGGTCTTTGCATTAGCCTTCGCACGAGGAGCTCTTCTCCTGACTTGACCTTGCCACTCGCTTACCAACAAACAAGCTTCTCCTCCTAATTTTTGGAGCTTTTGTTATAAGTCTATTTTTTTTCTAAGTATATCTGAATCACCAAATGAAAATGTACTTTTGAACAGTAGTGTTCACGACTGCCCTTACTCTCCTGTTACTTTTGTGGACTTGACCTTACTGTGTGCGGGTTTTCACTGTTAATTTTAAACTGAAAACAGGGCAGGTAGTTAGCAAGGCAGGCAGGCAGACAGGCAGACAGACAGTTCAGAAAGTGTTGCTAGCAGGAGGTCTCCAGGTAGGGTAGTGTAGTGTGTGTATCAGAAGGCTTACACTTAGTTAGGCGAACGAACGTTAAAATCTCCCTCGTTTTACAGTGATTTTGTTACCTCTGAGTCGTGCGTCCCTGAAGCATAAAAATCCCCAAATACGCAAAATAATTCATGGCATGCTTCCTGTAGGACGCAAAAAACGATCGATTGATTTGAGGATTTTTGGTAGAATATCCTGTTCGTGTGATTTCTGTGGCAGTTATTTAATGAAGCATATTTATTTTAGTCTTTTTTGTGCTTTAAATATCTAGAAGGAGTATATTTTATGGACTGGGACTCGTGATTTTTCACAAGATGAGTCCCAGGACTCATCATAACTATTTGCAACAAAATCACTGCGTTTAGCACTGTCATCCTAGAATGTATGTAGATGAGCAGAACTCCCCCAATACTGACACTCCCACAAGATTCATCCTGTATACTTTTCTTTCCTTTCTGACCGTCACGCTGTTTTCACATTTTTCTTGTTTTGTTAAACCCTTTTTTCCCTTAACTCTTTAAGCCCTAAGAGTGATCAGCATCAAATTTCTCCTTGTAATATCAAGGCTTTGTAAAACAGAGTGGTGATGAGAATTACGGACATGATCACACAAAATGAAGTTGCTTGATATTTTATCAACTTCTCCCCACTACTTCTGTAGAAAATGAATAGGGGCAACAAACGAGAATTCGAATTTTGATGTTTATTAGGATTTAAACGGTTAACGCTTTCACTCCAAGAGCGAGGGATGGGATCTTGCAATATAGGTTGCATTCCTTTAAACCAAACCTTTTTTCGGATTTAGACAATCCAGATTGTTTGGATTTTCCTTTTAGCCGGAACAAAAATCTGAAATAAGATTGATCCATACAGTAGCTGCCTGCTGCTCTGATCGTCTTCTCAATTTCAACACATCGTTATTTATTTCTTTCCGCTAAATTAAGCGTCTTCTCGTGGAGAAATGGAAAGAAAAATAGCTATTTAACTAGTGGTGGTTCATACTGGGACTCGTCAACTTGAAATTATCTTAAAATTGTAACTATTTATTTAGAGGTACTCAGACCAATAAAATTGATAAAACAAACACAAAACAAAACGAATTTGATTCAAGAAAATTCAGGAGACAATTACGAATTCTCAAGCGCTGAGAAGCGCGTTCAAAACTCACACACACATTGGACATCATAGTTTTACGGTGAGAAGATGCAAATGGATTGAGAGTTACAGGAGAACTTGAGTTTAATATACTACAATCCTTTAGCGGCATAGAACAAAGAAGGAGTGTAAATATCTTTTGCCTGAACTAACCTTGACCCGCCGTGTTTATCGATGAACGAGCACGATCGTCGATCGAAAAGCAGTTTCGTTAAAGAGAATAAAAACCTGAAACCACATTGAGATACCAGTCTGAACGATCCAAGCGCGGAGGTGGATCGTTCAGATTTCAATCCATTAAGGTTTAGACCTTAATCGGACGAAAAATCCAAGTTTGGATCGCACAATCCGGATTTTGATTGGTCAAAAAGAATGCAACCTATAGTTCTAACTTTACTTGTAAGCCTGTGGACAAAATCCCGCGGCGTGACCATTCATTTGATACCTCCTCGGCAGTACGTTCACATGGTTTTATTTTTCCTTAAACATTTTACAAAAGGAGTATGGAAATTTTGAGAAATTTAGATATTGGCCTCTTTTAGGAGTGAAGGGGTTAAAAAAAGAAAACAATTTAAGTAGTTTCATTGCCCAAAAATGGAAAGTATTCCAGTAACTCCGTCTCTCGCCTTTGTCTCGGAAAGTGAAAATTACACGTAGTGACGAATTTTAAAGTATCCATCATTTCTACTCCGAACCTCTCTTTTATTTTAGCTTGATGTTTGAAAATTCATTTCTCAGGTCGAGAAGAACCAGGAATATCCAACCGCTGGGGACGGTTTTTAAAAGTTCTTCGTTAAATGTAAATATAAAAACTTTCACTCTTAGACTTTTCGTGATCGTATGTCTTCCTCTCACATTAAGGCTGCATGCGAGAAATAAACCTTTTGTTGCCCAGGGTAAACCATGGGGCTACTTTGGGTGACTAATAGGCCTGTTTGGAATTTACTAAAATTGATACTCAGCACGGAGGCTGAGGGGTATTAAACAAACAAAATGCATTGAGATTTAGTGTTCTCAAACTCATTATTATTCATGCAGTCAGTCTTCACCATTTGGGTCAAGTGGATGAATCTTGATACCTAAATGAAACACCAGATAAAACACCACCATGTTTTTATCTCAGATGGATCAAACACTTCCATGTTAATCAGCTGATGTATTGGTTAACACGTCTCGTGGAAACAATGGAATACCAGAGAAAACATGTCGTTGCATAATTTGTCATTGTTTCATTTGAGACGACATGAAAAAACTCGGACTTCTTGCTTCGATACTGGTTCCAAACACCACGAAACAGATGAAAGCACTCGGCCTACGGCCTTGTGCTTTCACCTATTTCTTTTGGCATAAACAACACTCGAGCTATTTCAAAATTGATATTTCAGAATATCACTCGTGTTATTTATGCCAAATATCACTAAAATCATGCTATTACTTATACTAATTTCTTGGGAGCGATAGTTCGAAACAGGCCTATTTTTACGTTTTAACCCAGTTTCTTGCGCAACAAAAGAGCTGTGTTTTTCTCCCTTTTTTTAGATGGTGATCTTTTTTATATAGATAATACCTGTTATTTGTATTACCGGGTATGAATAATGATACTGATGATGAGGAGGTTTTTTCAACAAGTGTGTGTGTGAGGTCGGGGAAGGGGGGAGGGGGGGGGCGTTGTAGGAAGAAAGAGTTTGCTGGCACTAATTTCGTTTTTTTTATTTTTTTACCTCAGAGCATTCACGCTTATGAGAATCACGTGGATGACGGACCAAAGATGTGCGAAGAATCTTCAAATTACGACAGATTACGAACTGGTTCGTCATTGTTGAAGGACGAGGACTGCACTTTAGGAAACATCTCTGTGTCAAAGATATGAAATTGACATGCTTGTATAATTTAGAAACTAAAGGCGCTTTTCAAAAGTCAGAACTGGCCGGCCGGACCGTGGCTGGACCATGGCCGGACCATGGCGGGACCAGTCATTTTGAAAATGAATAGGCTTTTTCCAAGAGCTTTTGCTGTTATACTACTACATGAGAAATTTCTGCAATTTGATTGGCTTAGAGCAGTGGTATTTCAGCTTAATTTGAAACACCTACATGTGAGAATTACAAACCTTTTGCGGGTAGTAATATAAACAAATAATAGCACGATTTTGTGCGTGATATTTGGCGTAAATACCACTCGTGAAATTTCAAAATTGTCTCAAATTTCACTCGCCTAACGGCTCGTGAAATTACGTATAACGAGTCTGAAATATCACTCGTGGTATTTATGCCAAATATCACTACAAATCATGCTATTACCTATACAAAAACCATCTCCCTCAAACATGTCTTTTAGGTTTTGACTGAACTGGCTGGATACTTTTGATTAAAAGTGAAATTCTCATTACTACTGGTGTGGTCTGGCCGGTCAGTTCTGATAAATGGAAGCACCCTTGGGAAAAAGGTAATAGAAGTTGGTGGTAATGAAACCAGGTCAAAGGCTATGTTACTTGTGTTTCCTTTCGGAACAGGTCTCATTTTAGGGAGGAATTAGGTAATTTCACGCCTAGTCTAGCTCGTAGGTACCTAGTACATAATGCCGGTGCTGATGTTACCTTCAAGAGTTTTCAAATACGTTAGAGCATCTCCTACAGCAGTCTTACATGTATTATTATTGGAAGGCTTTGCACTTGATGACAGCGTCTTTTGTTTGCTTTACATTTCAATTGGTTGGTGCTGCCAGTGTCTGTTCTAATTGTCCTGTGTAATAGGCCTTATTCTTAGTTGGCAACCACGTGACAAGGCGTCTATGTTGCTTGAAAAAACAATGCATTTTCCCTTATTTTCCCAAAAATTTACTTTAGAACAAGAGTTTAGTCCCTAGTGGAAGAAAAAGCTATTTGCATTTGCCAGCCAATATGGCCGCCGTGGGATCAACTGCAAACCAGGGATTTGTTTCGTTGTTTTGTAGACTGATGGCTAAACATATGACGTTATTCAGCGGAATGTTGTCTTTTAAAATGGGACTTCATGCTGGTATATGATCTTAAATTCAACAAGACAAAGGAAAAAATCCCCTAAGAGTATATTTGATCTACTATTGGCATTTATCGTATAGAGCGGATGAGGTCTTTTATTCTGTTTTTGTTTGAAATTTTGGTGACAATAGACAGGAAACGTCGCCAACCGTCGTTAACGGTCAGAAAAGACGTCTGTTGAAAAGTGCCTTTTTAAATTGTACTTCCACAAGTTAAAAATAGTTGGTAACAACTCTAAAGCTTTTTGTATTTTTTTTTTTTACCCTTTGTCTCTCACACGTATTAGTGACAATTATGGTTACTTTTAGGGATTTTTAATGAAGGCTAATTACACAATAAGACCACGAAAGATTTCTGGCTTTTGTCTTTTTTAGTGAAATATCTTAGCGGTTTTTTCAATTCGTTTTTAACTTTTATAGGCGGGCCCATTTTAGTAGTAATTTTGTGAAGCATTTGTTATAAAGAAGACTATAGAATCTCACCGTGTAAAGGCTCTTTAGGCAGCATTTTGCAATGTATTTCTTATTGCATACAGTAGATAGAAACTCCTTTTGGCAGCTGGTACGCCGGAAGGTGAGGAACCGTGAGGGAGAGAGATTCCGTCTACTCCCGCAAAAACAAAGTTTTTTCCAGGGACCAGACATTAATTAGGAAACATTTGGTGTAGGTCACGTGATTTTTAATTAGCCAATGATTCTGCAGGTGTAAAGCCAGACGAAAAATTTACCAGAGTAAAATTTTAAAACGTAATATATAGCCGTCTTCAGGGCCGCAAATTAGCAACAGAATGGGAACGTCAGTTGGCGACGGCGCGCGGAAAACAAAGACTGGCTTGACCAATGGCAGAGCGACAAATTGGGGACCGGACGTCGTGTAAAGTCCTTTACTCGCGCTTTCCGGTCGTCAAATGACGTTCCTGTCCTGTTGCTAAATCATCCTCCTGTACTCGTTACTGGGCAAGCCCGACGGAGGAAGTAAATTTATAAAAATTCCAACCGTGTAACTATGCAAAACATTTGTTATACAGTAAAAGCCCACATATAAGAGCCTAGATTTTTCAAGGACAGGCTGAACAGATTCTTATATTATTTATAGGGTAGTTTTTCACAATTCAGGCTGATTAGAGTGTTAATACATTCTTATTTTTTAGAGGTTGTCGTAGTGTAACCATTGGCAGAAGTGTTGTGCTTCTAATACATAATGGTTCATGGAAAACAGATTTCTAGTGAAAATCCAAACAAACGTAAATCAAAGAAAACATATGCACCATAACTTTTTGTCAGAAGTTTCTCACACAATTAAAATACGGAATTTTAACCATCAAGAATGGTGTGATTTATTTCTGTAAGAACCTATTTTTCTTTTTGAGGCTGAACAGGTTCTTATACTTTTAGGTATTTAAATGACAAATTTCAGCCTGTAGGTTCTTAATTCTCTAGGTTCTTATATGGGGGCTTTTACTGTATTAGAAAAATGAATATGTTGTTTGTATTCTTCAGTATTGCATGTATTATTATTTTGTTTTATTCCGAAAGAAATCAAGAGTTATATATTTGTTTAATAAATGATTATCAGATAGGTTGGTGGGCTTTATCAGTTTAAAGCGACCAAACAGATCAAGAGTTAGAGACGTTATTTTTGTCAAGTCCTTATAAAGGCTCTGAACTGGAATATTAAATATTAGGTTTTATATTGTGGTGTACGTTTGTTCTTGGAAACGAGGAAAAGAATGACTATGTATAACAGGGGAACCGTTGTAAACAAACCCTACAAATTCTGATACAGTGTACTCTCGTTAACTCGAACTCAGTTAAATCGAAATTGCCGCAATTTTATTTCATTTTTAACCTATCAGCTCTCCGCACTATTGTTTTTCTCTCGAGGAGTCAAAGTAAGGAACACTATACCCTCGGAAATGAAGAGGATTAGCCGGTCATTTAATTCCTTAGACACATTTTAGTGAAATGTTGGTTGTCGGTTTCTATGGTTGCAACGAATGATCGTAAAACCCCATAATGGCTTTGAACGATAAAGGATTTGTATGGGAATCCCAGACCGATTTAGTTCGCCCCCGCGTTTGCTTCGCAATGATTGAAGGAGGCACTAAGAAAACAAAGTCAATAACGTAAGGCGTATTTTATGGATACTTAATTGCATTTATTTTCTTGAATCTGTAGGTTTAAGGCTATGAGATTTCACAACATTATACCATGTAAATGATCGAACTCTCATACTGAACTTAGGCCGGCAGTGGTATAATTTCACAAGCGATATGAGGCTCTCGGGATGTATGGATGACGCTTAACCATTTTTGCAAAATGACGAGTTTTCGTTGCTCTTTTTTTCTGAAAAGAACTTATAGTGTCAAAAACAGCCAAACTTTCAATCACAACATTTTTAAAGCGCAAGCCTGAGAAAAGCTTAAGTTTCTTAGCTACCATTTACCTGCAAAATCTGAATTTTTAGAAAATGATTTTGAACGACGTGACATGTTCCCAGCAGTACCATATTATATATCATATATATTATGTAGATTGCTGTTCACGCAACTAAACAGTCTTTTCATCTATATATTATGCATTAAACAATCAAATCGGCCCTCCTCTGAGTAATCTAGGATTACTAGGGCCTGTTTACCTGGACGTGGGGAACCTCGGTAGGTGAGGTAACCCGCTTAGGTGGGGTGATCCGCCTATCCATATAATCTGTCATTTTAATTTGGTTACGTTTACATAATAGGTGGGGTGATCATATGAGAGATTATGTGACCAGGCAGTTTACCCTACCTAAGCGGGTTACCTCACCTACCTGGGGTTCCCCACCTCCATGTAAATAGGCCCTACCCAGTATCCAGAATCCGTGCAGATTGGCCTCGACATTGAATAAGCATAATCACTTTCTTTCTTTGCGTCTTCTGGTCCTCATTTTGAAGCTTTTAGAACACGGTCGAACCTCCATAAACGGCCACCTATCCACAACGGACACTTTGTTTTTTCCCAAAAGGCAGTCCATACGCTCCCTCTTCTCCACAAAATTTAACAGCCAGTAACTGGCTCTGGGGACGAGAACGTGCGCACTAGAATATATATTTAAATTCTATTTTGCACCTTATAAATAATTAATTTTTATTTTATTATTATTTTATGGTCTCCAACCGTTGACAAGAGAAAAAACGCGGATGCGTAGGACTTGTCCAGCCCCTTTCAACTGCCAAGATGCCCTCTTTAGTACTTCCGGCCATGGATAGGGGTAGCCTATAATTGAGGGCTCTGAAACCTTTTGACGTTCTTGGTTCTGATAAAGATTGCTGGCTTTCAACTTCTGAACGATTTTTTTGGCTATGCTTGAATAACCAATGAAGTTATTTTTGGAATGATTAAAGCCTCCTGAATTCTTCAAGAGAAAACTGAAACCCAACAAAGCAAAGAAACACATGAAACAATAAGATTGACATCAGTCCATACTGAACTCTAAGCACATAGCCTTTAAGGCCAGACTTTGTGATTGGCAGTAATACATTTTCAGAACTGTAAGCACTCCTTTTTTTCCACTGATATTCATAACGCAAGTGTCAGTGTGAGAAAATTGACCATTAGTAACATGAATGACCGAACTTCAACTGATATTAAACATAATTTGCATTTTATTATTAATCTATTTTTAAAAATTGCTTCTCGCTCTGACTCGTCCCCAGTCGTCTCTCATTATTAGTATTTGGCGTGGAAGACTAGAACGGGCTCTTTAACCCAATTAATGAGTAGAGACAACTTAGAGACGACTGGGGACGAGTCAGCTTCTCGCTTGGGGACCGGCATAATTTATGTAGAGGGGAGAGGGAAAAAGAAGGGGGGGGTCAAGGCTATTTCAGATTGGCTTGAGGGGGGGGCTAAACGTTTTTATAAAGAAGTTTAGGGACGTCAGCAGTTTGATCGCGAGGTATGCAGAAACAATTTATGTCAAACAGTAATGCTAAACTATTCAAATTTTTGATAATCAGTATTGCTTTTTGTTTATTTAAACCACCACTATTTTGTACAACTTAGTCATTTGTATTTGATAGAAATCCCTGTTTGCACTCTAAATGTCATTTTTATTTCAAATTTTAGCTAATAAAGAATCCAAACGTATCTGCTTTAATATTAATTTTGGTTTGACTGAATATAATTTTCTTTTAACGAAATGCTTGTCACTTCACTATCCCAAGAAAAACATGATGAAACAACAAGAAACAGTGAAGAAAGAAGTCCTTTTACAACTGCAGAAAAATTATTTGAAAAGAATTATATTTTGAATGGTTATTACATTTGTGTTCACCATGAAGGCACGATTTGTGAAAATCTATCACTTTTCCTATATTTATACGCTGATTTTTTTATAGAGTAGGTTAGCTCCATTGTTATGCAAAGTAACTAATCATGCATCTTATGGTTAGTATGTTTATTTCAAATCAAATCACATCAAATCAAATCACTGGTTTATTGTCCCTTTTGCAGTCGGAAGACTGAATTTTACGATACCTCACAAGCTGTGTTATATATACTAATACGCTACATTGATTGACAAGATTAATATTTAACACTAACAAAATTTGAGAAACGTTCAGTCCTTGTGGCCATGGGCCTTCTAGAACTCCCTGATCTTAGACACACACTTGTAGATATAGGTACCACTCTGTTGTGTATTAGTGGGTATAACGGGTTACCTGGCCGAGACTGTCCGACGGGCAGAAAGAGTTGGGTAATACAGCTTTGTCAAGTGCTGCTTCATACGAATTACCAGGCCAAATGATGGAAAGGGCCCTTTTTTGCACGTTCTCGAGATAGCAAGCAAGATACTTAGGCAAGTCAGCAAAGACAGCGGAGGCGTACTCTAGTATAGAGCCAATTAGCGCGCAGTAGATATGAACAATATTAGCCGACGGGAATTTTGCACTTGTTGAGTTGTCTCAGTGCATAAAGCCGTCTGTTGGCCCTCTTCACTGTGTAGTCGCAGTGTACTGCCCAAGTGAGGTCCTCGGAAAGATGGACACCGAGGAGCTTAAATGTAGAGACCTGTTCAATATCGGATCCACCAACCGCGATTGGGCGCGGAACGCAACTATTGTAGTGAAGAAAGTCAACAGTCATGGACTTGCATTTACCGGGATTTAATCGCATATTGTTGTTAACAGCGAAAGCGTCGATATCATCAACTACTACATTCAATAAGGATGGCGAATTGCGAGGTACAACCTCCAAAACCGTCAGATCATCCACGAATTTAATGCGGGCACCCCAACTTTGAACAAGGTCATTGATCATAACAGCAAACAACACAGGACCCAGCTTTGTGCCCTGAGGAATGCCTCCATTTAGATATAAAGGAGCAGAAACCGAGGCGCCAACGTCTGTGACCTGAGCCCTCCCTTGCAAAAAGCATGCGACCCACCTAAGCAAGCTCCAGTGGAGATTGTACTGTGTAGAAAGCTTCTCCATTAATATAAGATGATCAATAAGGTCAAAACCTTTTTTAAAATCAGAAAAAAAATAACCTTTTAGGCAACCGCCCCTGTCCAGGGCTTCTAAAGCCTTCTAAAACCAGGAGATCAGACGAGGGACTACTCGGTCGATTTATCAGCTACCGCGAATTGGTTTCTATCGAGGTTTCGTACAGTAGATAGATGGATATACTCTAGCTAGTGTGAAGCACTCCAGCACTTTAGCGAGCTGGCATGTGAGAGAGATAGGCCTCACATCGTCCTCAATGCACATGGGAGGGGTCACCTTGGGGAGGGGATGGACTATCGCGCTCGTGAGGAGAGGAGGAATGAAGCCCTCACGAAACGTTGAGTTGTAAAGATAGGCAACAACTGGCGCAAGTTCAAAGGTGAAAAGCTTGAGGACGACGCTAGGAATCTTTACAAGCACTTTAATAATTACTTTGTAGAGCATATAAGAGGGGATATGAGGTGGTGGAGGTGGTGGTGAGGGGGGCGGGGGCTGATCACGTAAATATTGAATAAAGAAGGGGGGTCACTTGCTATTAACATGGTCTGCAGGGGGGGCTAAGAGAAATTTTGATCTTTGCCACATATTGCTGGTTTTCATTGTCACGCCATTCAAAATAGATCAAAATAAAAATCAAAACCGTTCAATAAATAAAGTCCAGAATCTGGGAAATGAAAGGAGGTACCCATACAAAGACCCTCGCCAAGATTCAGGTCAGAGGAATATTTCGTTTACGAGATAGCCGAAGAAATGTTTTACCCAAACTTATAGAGATTTGTCTGGAGACGCCATGCTGGTGACCAGGATGAGCTCCAACATGGCGGACGGAAACCAACAGAAACATCTGTTACGGAGTTTTGCTACAGAAGCGTGAATTTATTCTTCGAGAAACTCATAAACATTAAAGTAATACTTTTTCTAATACATGAACTGTTTAGATAGCAAAAGTTACTGAAATAAGTCATTTTTTTAACCTACATGACAGATCTCTCGGCCGTCATGTAAATGCCGCGTCACGTAAAAGCACAGGCGGCCCAAACTCACTTTACGAGGGAAGGGTGTAATGTAATTTACATAACATAGGTGACGCGCCGGTGTCGCGTTACAGGCGACCGTTGAAAATATAAGAGACTTTGTATGTGAAATATATTACTGAGATCTGCGAAACTTACTTTTTCTTAAATGAAATGAATACAAAAGACTTACCTGCAATGTATTCCACTGCATTTTAGTATCTGTTTGTCGTTCTATTAAAGGAGTAACAGTGGTTACGCAATAAAGCCAAAAACACCCTACACACATTACACCCTTCCCTCGTAAAGTGAGCTTGGGCCGCCTGTGGTAAAAGCTTAGAAATTCAAGCGTACTCTATCACAAAACGAAGAACCCTTCTGAAGCGAAAATTTGTATGAAAATTTGTTTTCAGCTGCTTTGATGCATCGTGAAAGTAAAATCTCGGTAGGATCGACAGCTTTTTTAGTTTGAATTTTAGTGACGTTTTTCAGAAAAGTGTTTCCTTTTTCGTTTTTGGGCATTTGTTGCTTTTCCTTCGTGTTCCTGTACAAACAACACAATTACACCAAATTATTTCAGAAAGTTCGCAAAGTTTGTGCGGAGTGGACGAGCCGGGGCAATTGCCTCAAGCTTGGATGTGATTGGATGCCCCATCAAAGTGCCCAAAAAAAAATCGTGAGGCTCTGGGACCAAGGATCCCAAGTAATTTCCGGTCCATGGCGCACTTTTTGAGGTGGATGTGTTTAGCGTTCTTGATTTCACCTTCTCTGATTTCGCTTATTCAGCATGTCTCTGGAAGACAGGAAAGTTTTCTTTCAGGTGAGGATCACTGTTTAATTGTTTATCCCTCAAAACCTACGAAGTGCCGTCCGTTGAGAGAAATGTAGATTAACCTCAAAGTTTGTCGAGTATTCCGATGTTAGTGCGTTGGCCAGATCTGACATGCCAGTGATAAATGATATCCCTTGTTTACTTTAATTTCTTTACCTTTTTTGTCTTTGTGAAAGTGAAAACTCTTACAATAAATAAAGCAGTGCAGACAGGCCTCATTTATATAGGCGTGCATTGTATTACATTAAGCTTATAAAGGCTCAAGAATTTGATATTAAATTTAGCTAATGTTTGATCCTTACTAAATATCTCGAGCAAATATTTACATTTTCTCGTATTCTAATCTGTTTAATGTTATTTTACTGACAGTGCAAACTCCATACGTATATGTGGTATCTGGGAAAGATCTCTCCTTGAATTGTATAGTGAACGGCTCATCGCTTTCCGTCGATCGAGTTTCTTGGAAACACGACGGGAAGTGGCTTCACAATGAGACCCACCGGTCGACCTCAGAGGTGCGCTTGATTCTCAGAAAGATTTCACGTCAACAGGATGGTCTTTATCAGTGCGGTGTGTTTAAGCCTTCTGGCCAAAGTTTACTTGAAGCTATTCCTAAAGAAGGAAATGTTACTGTCTTTATTGGAGGTATGAAACGTATTTAAGTAACTAAATAATTCGTCAAGGCAATGGCACAGGAACTCCGAACAAGAATAAAGTTCAAAACCACTTAAACATAGTTCCGGCTTCCTTTAGGTACAAAGCTCGGTTATCTATTCGGATTTCGTAACTAAAAGTCTAGTGATCCGAAAATTATAGGGATCAAAACTTACCTTTTTGAAAATTTCAGCCAGAAAATAGGCTCCTGAAAATTCTAGGTGACCTTTTTAGGGTAAAAATCCGTTAAAAATAGGCAATTATACCATTTTTTACATGTTCGAAAATCCTAGGAGAGGCAGGCAAGCAAGAAATTTTACAACAAATGTTCCGAAAATTCTAGATCTCAAATTGTCTTCCGAACAGATATTTTCCGAAAATTGACCTTGGATGCCCCTGATGGCAGTGTATCTACATCAGGGGCGTAGCCAGCCCTTACACCTGTAGGCCCGGCGGGACTACAAAGTTTTGGTTTGATCACTCTACCACTTGTAATAAATTATGCATTGTTGGGGTGAGCTAAAAAGCTTAATAAGAACTCAAGGTGTTGGTGAGGTCAGTGCATACTAGTCAGCCATACAATTTTCAGGATACGATAAACAGCATTTTCTACATGATTTGCATAATGTTCCTTTCCAAGTAGCTGAAATATTTGACGACGTTGATGATAGGCTCTACGTGTTTGATTGTTTATATGAGGACATTCTTTGTAAGCACGCACCTTTGAAACAGGTCCGCATAAAGGGAAATCAAGTTCCCTTTATGAATGAACAATGGCGCAGAGCTATTCCCTCAGAAGAACCGTCATTCATGAAAGAACTGATACTAATTATGAATTGTACAAGAGACAAAGGAACATTTGCACTTCTCTAAGACGGAAAGCTATTAAAACTTTCTTTGACAAGAAAAGTGAGTCGGAAAACCCAAGGGAGTTTTGGGACACATACCGCCCATTTTTACATTCAAGGAAAAGTACACAAGCTAATGACAAAATACTAAAAGAACACGATGTCGTAATAACAGACAAGACACAAATAGCGGAGCTTTTTAATAGTTATTTCGTGAACATCGTGGACGGTGTGCCAGAGATTACTGAACAGATTTATGGAAAAGGGTTTGATGCACATCCTAGCATTCAGGCGATTTTTAATAACAATGAGCAGATCGCTGCGAGAAACAATTTTGCTTTTCAATATACTAATAAAACCCAAGTGGAAGCTTTGTTACTCAAAATCAACCCCCGTAAATCCTGTGGTTATGACGGAATACCACCGCGACTGGTAAAAGAGTCTGCCAACGCGATTGCTGATCCTACAGTTGCAATAATGAATCACTCAATTAGGACAGGACAGTAACCGTCAGGCTTGAAATTAGGTCAAGTTACTCCTTTATTTAAAAAGGACGATGAACGAAACAAAAGCAATTATCGACCAGTGACCGTATTACCTGCGCTCAATAACGTTTTTGAGAGGCTACTTTCAGCTCAAATGGGCGACTTTTACCAGAACATATTGTCTGAATACATATCTGCCTACAGGAGGCACCATAGTTGTGAGACATCTTTACTTAGGCTGACTGAGGACTGGAGGTGCAGTCTAGACAATAAAGAGATCGTGGCGGTTATATCAATGGATTTGTCAAAGGCTTTCGACACCATACCTCATTCTTTGCTATTAGCAAAGCTGAAAGCGTATGGCTTGCACGAATCCAGCTGTGCCCTTATCGGTGACTACTTGACGGATAGAAGGCAGCGAGTGAAAATTGGTGATACTTATTCGGTTTGGATGAGTGTGAAGAGGGGCGTGCCTCAAGGCAGCGTCCTGGGGCCCATGTTTTTCAATATGTTCCTCAACGACCTCATCTTTCACATTAAGTCTGTAAAATTAAACACTTATGCCGATGACTGCCAACTGCACTCATCTGATGTAGACCCAGTGGCCTTGGAACAGCGGATCAATCATGATGTACAAATAGCAAATAAATGGTTCGAAGACAATGGGATGAAAGCAAACCTTGCTAAACATCAAGGGATGGTTCTTGGCAAAACCGATTACCCTTTCTCCTTTTTAACCACAAGATGCCTGGATCTTTTTGGAATATCTCTAGACAATTAACTTAATTTCAAGGATCACGTATCCTCTGTATGCAAAAAAATAAATAATCAGTTCAGTGTCTTCAAAAGATTTGGCAAACTTATCTCATCTGAAATTATGCTTAGCCTTTATAAAGCATTTATCTTACCCCATTTTCACTACTGTTCAATGATATGGTACTTTTGTAATTCAGAAGATTCTGTCAAACTGGACACCTTAAATAGACGTATTTTAAGATTTGTTTTAAAGGACTGGGACTTGAACTATGATGCTCTTCTAGACAAGGCTGGTGTGTGTGGTTTAGCCAACAGGAGGATACAAAATATGATGATTTGTATATTCAAATGTCTCCATTTTGGTAAATATCCGTGCTTTTTAAAACAACTGATCAAGTTAAGATCTACTGCTTACTCCCTACGGGTTACTAATATTTATCACTTCCTTAAACCGTCTACAACCGCATATGGTCTAAATTCCTTTAGCTATTCATCTGTTAAGTACTGGAATTTCTACCTGATCACTTTAGAAAGACTGTAGATTATAGTGAATTTAAGCGCCAAATTGTTAGTTAAACGGTTTTAGTTAATACTACATTAATTAATATTTATTATATATGTTGTAACTTTTAAAATTAGTTAGGATCGGAGATACTAGGGACTAAAATCCGAGGATAAATAAAGTTTATGTATGTTGCTCTTGTGGAAATGAAACAGCCAGGCCTACAACTGGTGTGTGGTTACGCCACTGTACAACACTGAGAGGATTTAACCAAAAATCTGTTTTTGAGGATTTTTGCATTCATTTCAAATGTAAATTTCAATGTATTTGAGATCCAAACAAAAGGCAAATTTATAAGTGGTATATGGAGGGTACACTGTAGGCTGAAAAACAGTCAGCTCTTTCTCTTTTGTTATGTACAGAACTTTACTGCTATGCACGAGGCGCATGATACCTTTAGCATGGTGGATTAATTCCTGCTCGTGTGTTTTGCATGTGAAACCTCATGAGAAAAAACAACTGTTAGGCATCCTGCTCGGAGGGTGAGGCATGGTGCTTGCTGCTCACAGGCTTGTCGTGGTTACCCTATGCGCTTGGCTCTTGTGCCTGTGGCCCTACAGCATTTCCAGGTACCTTCTCCAAGCTTATGTACAGTGGATCCTTGATTTAATGAACCCCTATATAACGAAGTCCTCGGCATAATGAACGATTTTCTTCAGCCTGGCCAAAATTACAATAAAATGTATTGAACAGAACCCCAATAGAACGAACCTCAATTTAACAAAATCCTTGTTATAACGAACACAATCCAGAAATGCAAACATAAAATGTACCTTGATATAACGAGTAAATGTCAGTGTCTGACCGAAAGGTGCAATTACAGTTTAGCTAAAGATGATTGCAAAACAGACCAACGACGGTAAAATTTATGTGTACAGTAGTGTTACATGCATGTAAGTTGTTTTGCTTGCCTGTTCCTGTGTTTCTAGTGCCAAAGCTATATACAGCTCTGAACTGAGACAATAGCTTCATGTACAAATTAATGTTTATTACAGAAATTGTTCTGATCAGGAAATGCTGGGTGTTGGAAATTAATCATTAACTATACCTTGATATAACAAACATGTTGCTTGTTTTCCCAAG